GGACGGTCGGCCCCTGCTCAATATGTTTTGTTATGCGCTCTGCCATGCTCGTCGAAGGCGCGGGTGGCGGGATACCCGGGACCTGGTAGTCGTTTGCGTATCCATTGTTTTGCCGATCGGCGCGGGCCTCGCACCCCCCCTTCCACCACCCCGTGGATTAGATCTTGGTTGTTTTTTGGCGCTTGTGTCGGGCAGGTGGAACCTCTTCCATAGGACGCACCGTCGCAAACAGTCGCATTAAGCCGAGGTTTGGAGCCACCCTCCCCCTGCCCCCCCCTTCCGCCAAATGTCGAAACGCCGAAGAAGAAAACGTTCGCAAGGTCCACGCGGATTTCTTGGATCTGCGATGGGGCCCCCTTGCAGCGCCTCCGGCGCCTTCCCTTGCGAGCTCCGCGAGCCAAGGAGGGGGGGGGCCCAGTGCAGATCCCAAGACATCCGCGCGGACCTCCGAAAGTTTATGTTTATGCAGCCCTCGCCCTTGCCCTCGCCCTCGTGTCGACGTTGTCGTCGCCCTCGTCCTTGCCCTCGCTCCCCCCCCCGCCGTCGTCGTTATCGTCGCCCTCGCCCACTCTGGAGCCCGCTGCGCCGCACCTCGCCACCAGGCGGGCGCGGGCGCTGGCCTGTTGGCCCAGCTCGAGGACCTCTGCAAGCTTGCCGCCCCTCCCCTCCCCACGCACGTCGCCTCCGCCGTCTCCTCCTCCTCCTCCTCCTCCTCCTCCTCCTCCTCCTCGCCCTCCTCCTCTCCCTCGTCCTCCTCCTCCTCCTCCTCCTCCTCCTTCTCCTCCTCCTCCTCCTCCTCCTCCTCCTCCTCCTCTGTCGGGCGTGTCTCCCCACAGTTCCGTGCTCGATCGCGGCAAGGCCCCGCCTGGCTTCTCTTCGGATGGATCGTCGCGCTCCCGGCTACGGCTACTCCTTTCCGCCATCCAGGATCGCTGCCCTGATCTAGGCTTCCTAGATAGGGGCCGAGTAGATGGGGTCGGAGGATCGCGCCGCACCGCCGATGCATCGGCGATGCAGCTCGATGTGGAGCCCACTTTGCCTCACGCCGACGTCGCCGATGCATCGCCGATGTATCGGCGATGCCGCGCGATCCTCAGACCCTGTGCTCGGACCCCATCTAGGAGGCCTCTGTCTGAGCTGCCATAGAATATGCCATAAAAGCTGAAATCACCCAAAGTGGTCAGCGTCGCCCACCTACCTTTACGAAGTCAGAGCTGTCGCTCTCGCTGCTATGAGGCGAGATACCCCTTGCAGCAGTGGCCGAGTCACTGAGGCCCCAGCCACGTGCGCTCCTCCTCGCCTTCTTGGTGCAGCACGCGTTTCTCGCTCCCTCGTCGGCGTTGCGTGCGAGGGGGTGGCGCCAGGGGGGTCGCCAGTCTCAGAAGGCGCATGCCTTGCAAGAAGCACCCCGCCCTCTCAAGAGGCGAGCCTTGACCTCCGTGTATGTGCCGCCAACCTCTTCTCATCGATGAAGTTCGACACGCCGTGGTCTCGAGGAGTCCCACCGCCAAGGGGGCGATCCGCCCCACATCCCCAGCGGCAGGCTCCACGGCTGCCCCCAAGGTCTCCACCTCAGGAGGAGGAGGAGGAGGAGGAGGAGGAGGAGGAGGAGGAGGAGGAGGAGGAGGAGGAGGAGGAGGAGGAGGAGGAGGAGGGCTCCACACAAGTGCGTCGTCCGTGCCATCGCAAGCGCGAAGGCTGGGCGCGCAATGCTCCTCCATACATACACTGTGCCTGTCTAGGCCCGCTGTTTTCACAGACCTTCATGAACTACGAGTGACACAAGTGCGTCGTCCGCTTCGCTGACGGTGCGTGTTCCGGCTGAGCATGCAATTGCGTACTGCTGCGAGCGGTGGACCACCCACAGTCTCGGCATCGAGTTCTCTCCGCAAGGAGTTGGTTGACGACACCAGCCTTCGGTACCACCGTAGGCTTCCCAGTGCGATTAACGAACGATGTTGAGGGTGCTTTGATCAAGCCGCATAGCCTCAGCATCAGGAGCGGCAGCACAATGTTCGTGCGTGCGCAGCCAGTCATGTATCCAGAAACCGGTTTCCGCGATGGGTTCGGAAAGATGTGGAGAATCGTTCCGATGGCGCAGTTTCTTGGCCCTGCGCTCGCATGCAATGGGGGCCCGAAGCACGACTTTCAGAGGACGAGGGTGGCCGTCATTGGTGCTTGTTGGATCAAACCTTGCATCCTCGCGAACGGGATGACCAGTTGCAGGCAGGGCTTGTAGACGATCGAATAAACGGCATGGGGTAGTACACGCGCGCATTTGCGATACATTCATCGCAAGCAGTGTTCTTGCCGAAGATGGTCGTTGTTTCAACACTTTGGGGTGGATACTGCGTCTTCCCCAGGATCCTCATGCGGCCCTTGCAAACCTCAGCATACGTCGGGCAAGTGGTCATACGAACAGCATTGTTACACCGTGGTCCTGTGTCCATGTGTTTTTCGTGCGTAGCAGGGTTGTCCTATCTCAAGCGCCATGAGAATTCGATGGCTGTACACGCCTTTCGTGAGCAACATGCTGAATGATTTGGCTCAAGCAGCTCAATCAGGCCTGCCAGCAGGTTCCACGTATAATATTATTACTCCCCGATGGTCATGAGGCCTTGTGGGGAACCAGGCGGAGCCGAGTAGCGATGGGAATGTGCGATTCTACTTCATTGTTATAGCAATATGTATCATTACGCGCATCTGCTGTACTACCCCCCTTCTTTTTTAAGGACTCCCTGGTAATACGCAAGCTGCTGGAGACCACCGACGCGCAGGACCCGGACAGTGCCTGGGGGTGAACTGTTTCCGCAGCCGCAAGGGCGGGGAGGCAGCAGAGATGGACGGTGGGGGAAGGAGGCGGCGGAGGAGTGCGGGAGCGAGTGGGGGGAGTGAGAGGAAGAAGAGAGAAGGCAGTTGCGGAGATAAGTGGGTGATGTAGGCAGCAGAGGGGGAGGGGGAAAAGAGAGGGGATGAGGCGGCTGTGGTGGAGGTGCGGGGGGGGGGATGGTGGCAGAAGTCATGCTGGCGGCACACAACACTTGGAAGCAGGAGATGAGAGGGCTGACGTCGCAGATGAACACGTGCGCCGTGCCAATCGGAAGAAACATGCAGACGGCTGCTTACCGTTTTCCACGTTCCCGGCCTCGCCCCCACGCGCAGGTTGCTTTGCAATGGGCCAAACACATGGCACAATGATTTGTAGACGTTACGCTGAGATAGGGAGAAGCTCGGGTTCGGCAGGGGCTCTCTGTAACTCATGTCCTTCCGTAGTTGTTCCCTTAGTGCTCCTGGAGCACCTGGGCGCTTCTGGGGCCCAAGCGTGGTCTCACCACGCATTCTGCGCCCCTCCTGGCAGCACGACCACCGCCGTCCTTGCCCACCCAGCGCAGGACGGAGTCAATCGGTCGGCGCACCGGGTCAGGGCAGGAGCGAGCCCCCTCGGCCTCGTCTTCGTTCTGCCGCTTCGCCGTGGCACAGTTTCGCTGTGGCGATACGGACTGCCCGAGGACGAGGGGCGTTCAGACGCGGCCACAACAAATAGATTCACCACCACCACCATCCTCACCCCCGCCCACTCCGAGGACAGAGGAGGGTGCATGGGCAGGGAGGGAGGGGAATGGAGGTGGTGATGGTGCATATACTCGGGGCCAGCAATGGCCGGCCCAAAGGGGGCACGAGAGAGAGGCCGCCGGCAGGAGTGCGCGCTGCGCCGCCTGGAAGAGGCCTGGCCTGCCGCTGGCGCCGCCTCCGAGGAGGCCCCCGCGTGTTGCGACCGGCGGGAGCTCGAGGAAGGAACGGGTACACGCCGGCCGTTGAAAGTAAGTATTTTTGGATTCCCAGATCCCAATCTACTTCAAGCGCCTTCCTAATTACTTCAAGAATCGGGACGCTTTTGCTGTGTTTTGTTATTCCCTGGGGAGGCCTGGACCCAATCTACTGTACTACTATATCCGCCTTCCTACTTCATGTTTTTACCTACTTCTTCCGACCCACGTGCACTCCGAGGAGGGCACCTCTCCTGAGAGCCTGGCGCCCACACGTCGAAGGATGGCGGCTTGAGACAACGGCAGTCGGCCTTCGCGGAGCTCCATCGCGTCGCCACGGCCGCATGCAGCCCGGAGATCGGCGGCGCGCACAAAGGGGGCATTGGGCGGGGGGGGGAAAGCTTCTTAGAAGGAGGCTGCTCCTCAGAAAGTGTTGGCGTCATCTGTAGATGCAAGGCCGGCGCCTTCTAAGAAGCAGCCTCCTTCGAAGAGGCCTTCCCCCCTCCCCCCCTATGTGCAGCCCTTGCGCGCGCCGCCAAGGGAAGTTGGTGCGTCTGGACCGCGGGAGGGTTCCGGGGACCGATCTCGAGTTGCCGTTGCTTCCGTGCTCCCTGCTCCGAGGCTGCTGCAGGCTCGCGCTCGCCGCGGCGCCGCGCATGATGGGCTTGTTTTCTACCACCAACACTATATGTTGGAGGGGGAGGGGGGTCCTCCTCCTCCTCCTCCTCCTCCTCCTCCTCCTCCTCCTCCACCTCCTCCTCCACCTCCACCTCCTCCTCTTCATCTGTCTCCTCCACCTCCTCCTCCTCTTCGTCGTCGTCCTCCTCCTCCTCCACCTGCTTCCCCCCTCCAGTTTATGGCGGCGGTGGTGGAGAACAGGCCCATCAGCGCATGCGACGCAGGGGCGCGGGCGCCCGAGTTCTGAGCGCCGCTGGAACGCCCCGGTCGGGTACACTTACCAGCCTCGAAGTTATCCCTAGCCCTAAGATTGACACGCCAAGAGGCGATGGCAATCTTATGGATGCGCCCTCACAAAATAAGGGAATCCCTAAGATTGGCATCGTGATGAGGAGATGCCCGGCATAGGGATAGGGATATGTTCCAGGCTGGTAATACACGTTCTTACGCCGCAGCGCGGCGCGGGCGCTCGAGTTGTTGGGGGGACAGGCGGCCAGCTCCTTGTCTGGCTGCCAGGGGAGGGAAGCCACAGACACAATTAATCGCCGATTCCCCAGAACATATGGGAAAATATAGGAAGTGTGGGGCAAGACAGAAACCCAGAACATGTAGGAAAAGATGGGGGATCCTGGAATTTGTGTCTACTTATTTGTGTGTCTCAGGGCCCCTTCAAGAGCGGCGGACTGCTTTGGGGTGCAGTGAGACTGGACCATATGAGAGTCGGCATCACCCCACCTCCGACCCGCTGGGTCGCAGGTGGGTCGCATCGAGGGAGAAAGAGAGACGCAAAGATAGACTTGTGGAGCTCCGCACGGATTTCTCGAGTCGGCGCTTGGGCTCCGGTGGCGGCGCTTCTGGCGCCGCCCCTGGCGCGCTCCGCTCGCCGGGGAGGGGGTTCCAGCGCGGGTCCAAGAAAACCGCGTCGTTTTTTATGTTTACGCTTTCTGCCGTTGCTTCTTCCCGTATCGTAGGTGGGGTGGTGCCGTGGGTGGGTTTTAGGTCGTCGTAGGTTGGCAAGTGCCTAAACTCGCAACATCGCTGGGTCGCAGGTGGGGTGGCGTCGCTTGGCTTCTGGTCAGAAGACGGTCCGGAGTCCTTGCGGCAAGACGCGTCGAGAGTTTCTCCCCAGCAGCAGAGGCCCTTGTATCTCTTTGTATCAGCTGCGCGTAAGAGTGGCCCTTCGCCAGAGTGACCTTTTTATGGTGCGGGCTCACTCGTCGGGGGTTCGTAGAGGGGGGTTCTACCCCCATGTGCGGTTAGCCAGAGCCCACAATCATCAGGGGTAACTCGGGTCAGGGCTAACTCGGGCTCGTTTTTCGGGAATCCAAGCCCGAGTTGCCCCGGGCCCGGGTTACCCCAGATAACTCGGGCGCCCAAGTTGGGGAACGAACCCAGATGGATGCTCACATTTCCACATTCCGAGGCGGGAATTTATCCATAGCCACAGCCTGGAGGATCAATTTCCAGGGACCTCGGCAGGCGGTGGATATGGACCTATTTTGCCCCCCCCCCCGGGGCCAACATCTATATATATATATATATATATATATGTATATATATATATCTCTATATATATATATATCCATATCCATATCCATATCCATATCCATATCCATATCCACCACCCGCTGGGGCACCAGGACGTCGGTTCCCAGGCGGTGGATGTGGATAGATCCCCGCCTCGCACACGTGTCCTTCTTCCAGGGACCGCTTAGAGCGATTGTCCTCGTAACCCCACCTCGGTCCAGGGACCGCTTGGAGCGATTGTTCTGGAAACGACAGGGCCGTTTTTTTGCCGGTTCCGTTTTGCAGTTTTTTTGCCAGTTCCGACGCCGTTTTTTTACTGGTTCCGTCGCCGTTTTTGGACCGGTTCCGGCTCCGGGTCCAATCCTGGAGCCGTTTGTTTGCCGTTTCCGGTCACATTTTTTTTTGCCGTTTCCATTTTCAAGGGACACTTTTTCGGAAACGGTGAAAAGACGGCCCTGCCATTTCCGGGGCCCACAAAGGTTGAGGACGATCAATGGAGAGGAAGCATGCTGCCAAATAATTTCCAGATGTCTGAAAAGATGTTTCAAGCATGTTTTAAACATGTAAGTACATGTTTTACTCGTTTTTAGAGCATGTTTAACATATGTTAAACACATATTTTTTCATTCAATGGTAGGATTGTTAGGGTGTCCATTGTCATGTCATCCACAAGACTAAGGCCACTCTTGGGCGTGCAGTCGCCGTTGCTCCCCTCAGGCTGAGGGGTCTGCTCTGTGGCAGAGGCCAGGGGCCGCGGCATCCAGGCTGGAGCTTGCCGCAGGACGATCGCGGCATGGCCGGTGGGCGGGAGGAGCACGGGCATCGGCAGCAGGGTACCGCGGGGCACCCGCGGCCAGGGGAGCCTCACTGTTCATCGAAGGGCGGGCACGGTCTCGGACGCGCACCGTGTGCGGCGCGGGAGCAGATTGTGCTATTCAGGCAGGGTGGCTGGGCGCGTTCGATGCCCAGCCCGCGGAAATTCCGGGGCAGAGTGCAGCTGTGAGCAGTTACGCAGCATCGTTGTGCCGTGATGCTGCGTGTGGTGTTCCGTGCACGCGAGTATGCCGTCGATGGGAGTCAAATGAGGCATGCGCGCCGTGGTCTCAGATGTGCAGGTCGACGTACGATCAGATCGCGTCATTGCTACTCTTCTGAGTGAGCTGGAGCAGCATGAGAGATCACGGTGCGTAATCATATTCACAAGTTGTGCGCTACATTCGTATGGTATGGATGGCGGTTGCTCCGACCGCCGACGAAATCGTGGTGTCGCCCGTCTATCCATCAGTGCCTCCACCGTCGCCGCCGTCCGTTCGCTCTTATATGAATCTGGCGCTGGTCCTTTCACTGGCAATGCCATTCGGGTGCACTTCGAACTACCGCCTACCGCCTCTCGCTGCCGGCGGCGCGCAGAGGGGGACGAGGTCCGAGGCGGGAATTTAACGATATCCGCCGCCTGGATGGTCAGTTTTCGGAGCCTCGGCAGGCGGTGGATATGGACATATTCGGGCCCCCCCTGGGGCCATATATATATATATATATATATATATATATATATATATATCCATCCATATCCATATCCATATCCATATCCATATCCATATCCATATCCACCGCCCGCTGGGGCACCAGGACGTCGGTTCCCAGGCGGTGGATAAATCCCCGCCTCGCACGACGAGAGCAGCCTCTCTCAAGTCGGCATCCCCGTTCGCATGGCACGCCTTAGGACGATGCCGAGCCCTTCTCGCGTGCCTCCCGTCTTTCATGGAAGGCCGCCCCCTCGCCCTCCCCCCTTGGCCGCCAAGCTTACATCGACGAGCGCGTTCCACTGCTTGCAAAGTAGTAGCTACTCGCAAATGGCCTGGATCCCCCGCGGGGGATCTACGATAAATGACATCAAAGCAGGCATGTGCTTTTCGGACTTTTGCGAGTAGGCACTTTGCGAGTAGTGGAACGCGCTCGGCGATTACAGCTTTCACATTATCATCCCTCTTCTGTTCGGGCGCCTGCCTCGCTGCACTCGCCAGTTGCCCGCCGAGTGTTCGGGCAGATGCAGTACAGCCGCCCGCTGTGATAAGAGACCCCGTCTCTGGAGCTGGGTCTCCAATCCCGCGACGATCCGTCACAGACTCCGACAGGCCCAGCTCATTCGCGTGAGCCATCTTTCAGGAGTCGATATTCTAGAACCTCAGCTTCGAGTGTAACGTTCTCATTCTGGTCCCACGTGTCTATCATGATTGGCTCCGCTATCGATCGCCATGTGGTCCAGCATAGGGGGCGCAGCTTCACGATTCGTCGTGCGTTCTCGTATGCAGATGTCCTGGTGCTTGTCTCAGTTTCTTCGCGGTCCCGCCCGACGTATTGGTGACATTCTCGTTTCGTGCGCACTGCCTCGCGCTCATCTCACAGTCGCCCGCAGCACGCGGCGCGCAATCCACTTCGAAGCAGGAGTGCCGAGCATATCGCAAGCGCAGCGCCCATTCGTGGTTTGCCGAAGCTCCTACCTACCTTGTAGCCCTGCGGTCTGCGCCCTGGCACGGGCGTGGCCGAGGGCGTGTATGCTCGCCGCTGGCACGGCCACTCCTTGGCAAGGCGTTGCCTCTCGCATGCTCGCACTTTGAAGCGGCACCCTGTGCCCCGCACCTCCTCCGACCCACCTTCGTGCGCCACTGCACCACGGTGACGCCGCCTCTGCTTGCGTCCCTGCCTCCGCCACCCCTCTCATTACCGAGCGCGGGGTAGGGGCCAATGCGCACAGCAAGGCGTTGTGCGGAGAGCTGGCTCGCGCTGTCCAGCTTCCTTCGTTCGAGGCTCGGGCTCCTGCGCTTTTGGCACTGTTCCATTGTCCTCCCCCCCTCCTCGGCGTGGTCGGGCGGCGACAGTCAGAGGAGGTGTCGGCTGGCGGCAGCAATGCCAGGCCGCGGGCCTCCCCCTCCACCAGGTCTGCTCGCTGCTCGTCCGGACGGATGCCCTGGAGCAGCGTACCGCCGGGGACGAAACTCGCACCAAGTCAGCAATCATCCTGGGCTTCTAGAGCGGATTGGTGAGCAAGGATCCCGCTGAGCAGACTGGAATTGCGGTGTAAGTTTCGATCCGGTTCGATATCGATTCCTGCTTGCCCGATCTGGTTCGATCCCGATACTCCGACGATCCGATGCTGCCCGATGTTCGCATGGCATTTTCTGCTGTGCATCTTGGCGCGGCCGATCCGATTCGATGTCGATTCCGTGCCAATGCGACCCCCACGCACGTTCCGATTTGATCCGATTTCCCGATTCGAAGGTGCTTGATATTCTGCATTGTGCGAGAAGGCTTGGTTTGGGACCCGGGGCGTTCTCGAGGATGGCTCGGGCGCCAGAGACGTCCCCGGTCCAAAGACAGCTCGAGTTACATGTAAGGGTTTCTTGTGTCACCGCAGTTCAGCGGAATCCCCGAGCGGCAGGGGGGGGCATAGAGTTTGCGCATATGACCCGAATCATTGGGAGATTCGAGGGGGGAGGGGGGTACGATGCAGAGCTTGGATACACGATTCCGTCTCTCCGCTCCATCTCCGTACGCTGTCAAACGCATGTCTTCGCCTCTCGGCCCATCCTGTGCGAGGCGGACTTCAAAGCCGCCCACCCTCCCTTGCGAGGAATGAGAGAGTAGAGCGGGCATACCTGACCAGAGGTACTGCGGGCTGCCAGTGAAAGATGACGACGGGAACGACGTTGAGGACAAGGAGAAGGAGTAAGCAGTCCGATGTAGCCACCGTGCAACGATTTAGACAACACTTTCGAATGCGAAGAGTTTCGGAGGCCCGGAAAAATTGGAACAGTTGCGAGTCCGAAGGTTGAGCTGTGACGTTGCTGCCTCCGGGTTGGGGAGGCAGCCCACGACATACATTGTGTTGTTGCTTGCTTTTTGCAGCGGTGCCGGCCCAGGTCTCGACTGCATTCAGCAGGACGATAACGAGGACAAGTTCGCCGATAAGGCGTGACGGCCGCGAGTTGGCCTGTCTGTAAAATTCCTGATCAGGTCTTGGCGAAGGCCCAGGAGAAACGTGGTTGCGGCTCCTCGCGCGGGAGGTCTCCAGGTTTCCAGGAGGCCTGGAAGGCTCCAGTGATGACAGGGATCGTTGGTGCGAACCCTTGGGAGCACCTTTGCGTACAGCGGTGCAGCTAGCATCTCAGATGCTTCATGTAGGTGTTTCAAAGTCTGCGAGGAAGAGGAGTAGAAGGAGGGGGAGGAGGAGGAGGAGGAGGTGGAGGAGGTGGAGGAGGAGGAGGAAGAGCGACAGACTCTGCCGCTCGCCAGGTTGTGCACAGGAGGAGGAGGAGGAGGGGGAAGATGAGGCGCTCACGCAGTTCAGACATGGACGGTTTGGGGCCTGTGGGGTGTGGTGCACGGCGTTCTCGCGTCCCTCTCCTCGTTCGCAGTGCTACGAGGAGGTCGCAACTAGGGGCTGCAGCGGGGTTTCTGAGGGGGGGTCCTCCTCCGCAAGCTGCGCCCCAGCCCTTTCCTGTTCCTGTTCGCCATCATCTTCGCCGTCGTCGCCGCCGTCATCGCCTGGGAGAGTGGTACGTGTCGACTCTCATGCAAGGCCAGGGTACGACCTGCCCTCCAGCATCGTCGGGGGGCATTACTATGCGCATTCACCGCTCCTAACTCTCTTTTCGCCCGTCCCCGTCCGCCGATCGTCTGTCGTCTCGGTCTGCTTGCTGGGCGGTGTTGTGTTCAATCAATCGGGGCGCCAATGCCAGATCCCACGGGCCTGCGTGGGGATAGACAGTTAGCCAACGGCCCGCGAACATATCTTATCCCACGACCACGGGCTACCGCGGGATCGCTTGCCCAGCAGTTTCAACGGGCCCAGCGACGACGCTGGGTGGGAGGAGGAGGAGGAGGAGGAGGAGGAGGAGGAGGAGGAGGAGGAGGAGGGGGAGGGGGAGGAGGAGGAGGAGGAGGAGGAGGAGGAGGGATGACGATGGGGAGGAGGGGGGAGTTGGGGAAGGTCGCCCGATTATAGTGTCGTCGCGCTGCTCTTCTCCATCCCGCGGCCGCTCCCTGCGGATGCGGGGTGGCTCGTGGCACTGAACTTGCTTCGCCGCGCCAGCTGGACCGTCGGCGCGGAGCAGCGGTGCTTACAATCGACGTTGTGGGAGACGCGTTTAGATTAGTCGGGGGCGAAGCGGGAACCCTCTGGACCGCAGGAGGAGGAGAGAGGGAAGTATGAGGAACGGGCAGGAGGATAGTGAGGATACATAGTTTTTGGGATGAACCTCGAACATCATGTCGCATTCACGTTCGATGTAGTAATCCCACCCCTCCCCCCCGTGGTCAACGTTTGCGGTGGGTTTGATTGCTTGCAGCTCGCCATGCTAATTGTTCAGACCTGGAAGCTTTGAAGTTTGGAGGGCGGGAGAGGATTCTCAATTGTTTCCGTATGCCGTAGTGTGAGGAAGAGGAGGAGGAGGAGGAGGAGTAGGACGAGGACGAGGACGAGAAGGGAGGAGGAGAAGGAGTAGGAGGGGGGAGGAAGATGATGATGATAATGATGATGATGATGATGATGATGATGATATGATGATGATGATGATGATGATGATGATGATGAGGAGGATGAGGATGATGAGGATGAGGATGAGGATGAGGAGGATGAGGATGAGGATGAGGGATGAGATGATGAGGATGATGATGATGATGATGCTGATGCTGATGCTAATCTGATGCTGATGCTGATGATGCTGATGATGATGATGATGATGATGATGAGGATGAGATGATGATGAGGATGATGATGATGAATGATGCTGATGATGATGATGAGATGATGATGAGGATGAGGATGAGGATGAGGATGAGGATGAGGATGATGATGATGATGATGATGATGATGATGAGGATGAGGATGAGGATGAGGATTGAGGAGGATGATGAGGATGAGGATGATGATTGATGATGATGCTGATGATGATGATGATGATGCTGATGATGATGATGATGCTGATGCTGATGCTGATGCTGATGCTGATGATGATGATGATGATGATGATGATGATGATGATGATGCCGATTCTGATTCTGATTCTGATGCTGATGATCAGGAGGAGGAGGATGAGGAGGAGGATCATCAGTATCGGGCTCCAGTGGGCCGGCCTCAAGTGTTAGGCAGTCGTGAGATCCTTGTGGGCGCCGGAGCCCACGGGCTTGCCCTCGGGGGTGGCTGGCCCCTCCGAGGCGAAGAGTTGACGCGTCAGCAGGGGACGAACCCCCCGCCAGCAGCAGGAGGGGGCAGGAGGAGGAGGAGGAGGAGGAGGACGACGAGGAGGAGGAGGAGGAGGACGACGAGGAGGAGGAGGAGGAGGAGGAGCGGAAGGTGTAGGAAGAGGAGGAGGAGGAGGGTGAGGAGGGGGAGGAGGAGGAGGGGAAGGAGGAGGGCATGGGGGAGGAGAAGCAGGAGGAGGAGGAGGAGCAAGAGAATGAGGAGGAGGGGAAGTAGCAAGAGAATGAGGAGGATGGGAAGTAGGGGGAGGAGGAGGAGGAGGAGGAGGAGGAGGAGGAGGAGGAGGAGGAGGAGGAGGAGGAGGAGGACGTAGCGTCCTCCAGCCTCGCCGCCCGCCCGTGCACCTTTCTCGGTCGCGCGGCGCCCCAGTCTCGCCGCCAAGAGGCGGATCGGACCGAGCTCCTGCGCGTAGAGGCCTCGCTGCAGGAGCTGTCGGACCCCCTGCGGCGCCTCTCCCAGCGCACCGCGAACAGCGAGTCGCGGGCGGCGGCGTTGGAGAGGAGACCGCGGGGCCCGGGCCTGAATGAGACGTTCCAGAAAGGGCCTTGCCTTCGAGGATCGGAGGAGCTGCTATCTCCTCCGCGACGGAAGGCGGCGGAAGCTCGGCGCAAAGCGGCGGAAGTAAAGCGAGGCCGCCAGCGGCGAAGCCGGCGGAAGCTCGGCGGAAGCCTTCGTAAGCAATATGCGATTCTCGAGAGTTGACAACATTTTTGGATTCGGTTTCTGGAGTCGGCCGAATGAAGGCAGCAGCGGTCGAGCCTCAGGGTTGGGGGCGCGTTTCCCCTTTCTGTGCCCGGAGGCGCTTCGTCGCCACGGCTGCAGCTTCCTTCGGCACGTGTTCTGGAGTCCATCCTTGGCTGGGCCCGAGGGGGGGGGGGGGAGGGCGATTGCCTGAAGGGGGGACTATCGCCATGGACACGGGTCTCGATGGAAAGTTGTTCTGACTTTCAGTCCATCTCTCATTCCTTGGCCATCGCCTCCAATGAGGGGTAGGCAGCGAGAGAAGAAGGATTGGGGATCCGACGTTATATATTTGTTGGCCCGGACCCCTCCTGGGGTCCATCCTGGCACGTCCTTCGGGCGGGTGGCAATCGGGAGTGACCTAGATGGAGGGTGAAGAAAAGAACCTTAAAGGAGCCCTTTGGGGGCCCTGTTCACGGTCAGCGATGTGGCGAAGTCCATCGAGTCCCTCTGCTCAGTGTTCAGCTCGGTGCCAGAGTTCCACATCACATTCGCGCTGGCGCATGTGACGTCTACGATTGTGCTTGAGTCGTCTGCGATCCCTGAGATGGTTGCCAGCATCTCCCGCTCGCCCCTGTAGCTGAAGGTAATCATGCAGGTGCACGTGGAAAAGGGTTAGCATTGCAAACGCCCACCAAATCTCAGGCGTTCAGGCTTAGTTGTTTGGGATCGTTATCCTGCTGCCTCCCTGCTGACGATGACGATGATGATGATGACGACGACGATGGTGATGATGACGCTGATGATGATGATGATGTTGATGATGATGCTGATGATGATGATGATGATGATGATGATGATGACAATGATGATGACGATGACGATGAAGGCGATGATGATGACGATGATGATGATGACGACGATGACGATGATGATGATGATGATGATGGTGATGATGATGATGGTGGTGGTGGTGGTTGTGATGATGATCGTGAGGAGGATGAGGATGATGAGGATGCTGAGGATGATGCTGCTGCTGACGTTGATGAGCATGATGTGCTGCTGATGATGATGCTGATGATGATTACTGTAATGATGATGACACGGTGGTTGTGGTGGGCCCCCTCACACACCACCCGCATCGCCGCTCGGGCGCGGTGTGTCGCCGCGTGCGCCCAGCGCGGGCGGTGTTGCAGCCAGAACTGCAGGCTGGCAGGCAGCGTCGCCCCGGCCCACCACTCCTAGTCCTGGCTCTGACTGTCCAACCATTCGCTCACGGTCGTTGGCTGCGGTGTTCATCAATTTTGCCGCGAAGGTGTCAGAGATCGCTAAGCTTACCATCGCGTCGGACGATGCCCTGAAGGACCACTTCAATTGCATGGCTGCCTCCATCAAGGCTGATGTCAAGCTCGCCGCACTGTCCAACGCCAGTTCCACACGTCCTGATCATCCAGGCGACCAGCTGGTCGCGTGCAAGTTGGAGCCCGCGGACTATAATGAGACGGCGGTCGTAGCGGCAGGCGAAGGTGGGCGGAAGATTGTGGACCCCGATAATTTGGTGGTGTCAGCAGCCGAGCTTCATTGCGTCAGAGACAGCCATGCGCTGAGCCAGCCAGGACTAGCCATAATGCATGCCTCGGAAGATGGTAAGGCGTTGGACATGACTGGTGCGACATATAATTCACTCTTCTTCATTCGTTGCCAACATCAGTGCGTTTGTCACCTCTGCTCTTACGAACAAGATTACACAGAACGTGATTGTCGATCTGTTGGAGCTTGCTAGGCACGGGTCATTCGCGCCGAGGGGTAGGGTTATTGTGGAGGACATGCGTCTACATTGCGTCGGGCCAGTCACCGTCGGATTGGCCCCCCTTGGATCATGGACGTGCATGGCGGTCTTTGGCTTGCACTTCTGCATCACGCATGGCCCGGAGGGATCTACTGGGCTACACAGTGAAAACTACTTTCACGCCTGGTCTGTACCCGTGGTGGCGAGCACTGACGCCAACGTGGACCTGGAGTGCCTTAGGCTTCGGCGAGACCGTGGCACTCACCCGCTACGCAGGTGGAGCCGAGCTCAAGAATCAGCCGCCCGTCAAGGGCAAGGGCAAGGGCAAGGGCAAGAGCAACGGCAAGCAGCAGCAGCAGCAGAGTGACGGCAAGAAATTCGACCTTGTGGTCACGAGTGGCGGTATGGCTGCGTCTGCGCTGCACATCCACTAGGTGATTGCGGCGGCGGCCGCTAACGACGGCACCACTGGCAGTGGTGATGCTGCACCCGGCAACGACGAGGCGGCTCGCAGGGCTGACCGGCTCAAGAGTGGTAAGCACTTGCTCAGGAAGGTAGTAGCCGTCGCGGCCGTGCAAAGCGAACGGCGCGAGAGCACGATGCGCGCTCACCTTGGGTTGTGCAGCGCTCCCTGGGTATGCATCATACCCACTCGTTTGCCTTCGCCCTCGCCGATCCTCACCTCCTCATGTCTTTTCCCTCATTCTTCTCCATTTATTCAGCTGTCATCCACGACCCATGCTTCTCTCTCTTCTCTCTCTCTCTATGTATATTCATCCCTCTCCTTATCCAGTATGTCCGTACTCCTTCTCTCCTTACCTACCTTTATCTTGTCCTTGTCACGTACATCTCACTCTCAACTCTGCGCGTAGGCTTCTCGCCCCAGCCAGCCCAGCCGTGCGACTCTGGTCGGGATCGCCGGTCGCGCTGCGGCGGGGTCGGTAGCCCTGCTGGGACCTCTCCAGACTCGGCGCCCAAGATCGCAAACGATATATCGCCGCTGCCACCGCTGCTTTCGCTGCTGCCATCGCGGCGTCGCTGTCATGTCGTCGCGGTCACGGCTGGGTCCAATACCGATCGATAAACGATGTTTACAGTGGTGCCGTGATTGTAGATGGTGGCAAACATGTGATACGAATGGTACATTCTTTTTTGATGAAAATGATAGCGTAATAGGTATGGAGGGGGCGGAGTATGGCACAGAGCAGAGGCGAGGCGAGGCAGGTTGTTTCAAGAGGGCCCCTTGAAGCTCAGCCTTCCCGTGTGAGGGGTGCGCCGAAATCGGAGGGTGGAACATGTGGGCGTTGCCGCTGTAACCTTCGGTGGAGCTCCCTGTGGGGTCACGAACCGTGTGAGGGGTGCGCCGAAACGGGGAGTGGAACCGCGTGCGGGCGCTGCCACTGGGGCCTTCGGTGGAGTTCCCTATGATACCAGGAAGCGTATGAAGGGGAGCGCCGAAATGCGGGGTGAAACCACATGCGGGCGCTGCCGCAGGGGCCTTTTGTGGAGCTTCCCATGGGGCCACGGAACGTGTGAAGGGTGCGCCGAAAGAAGAAGTGGAACCGCAGGCGGGCGCTGCCACAGAGGCCTCAGGTGGAGCCCCCTTGTGCAGCTACGGAACATGTGAAGGGTGCACCGACATTGGGGGTGGAACCGCATGCGGGCGTTGCCTCTGGGACCTTCGGCGGTGCTCTCTATGAGGCCACGAGACGCGTGAGGGGTGCGCCGAAATATGGGGTGGAACCGCATGCGGGTGCTGCCACTGGGGCCTTCGGTGGAGGCCCCATATGAGGCCAGGAAGCGTGTGAGGGGTGCGCCCAAACAGGGAGTGGAACCGCGTGCAGGCGCTGCCGTGGGGGCCTTCTCCCTGGAGCTACGAAACGTTTGACTGGTACGCCAGAATTGGGGGTGGAGCCGCACGCGGGCGCTGCCATTGAGGCCTCAGGTGGAGCTCCCTAATTGGGGCCACAAACGTATGAGGGGTGCGCAGGAATGGGAGGGTGGAACCGCATGCGGGCGCTGCCGCTGGGGCCTTCAGTGGTGTCCCATGTGCGGTCACGATACGTGTGAAGAGTGTGCCGGAGGGACGTGCGGAGGGCAAAGCCCGGAATGGGAGGAGGGAGGGAGGGAGAGAGGGGGAGGAGGAGTGAGGAGGAACGCGGGCGGCTATCTCGTCAAAACGAGGCCTCACCACCGCAGGATGGTTGAGAAACTTAGCATGCGAGCCTCTGGAAGAGCCTTTCACCTGAAAAACACCATGGGCACCAGAGGAGGTTGTCAACAAGAGTTATTGCTTAGAAAGGAGAGGTCAACAGCATGGGTGCATCTCCTGTACCCATCACGTGTAGTGGGCGGAGCCCCTAAAACAAAAAGAGGAGGGAGGCAGGAATCCACAGGAGGAAGGAAGGAAGGAGGAAGGAAGGAGGGAAGGGGCACAGGGGAGGGAGAAGGATGGAGCACGAGAGAGATTAGCAGCAGAGGGGTTTGGAGCAGGGAAACAAGGAGCATAGCCAGATCGGCGCGTCGGGCGGGCGGGCCCTGACGGGCGGATCGGGGGGGGGGGGGCCCAAACGGCGGGGTCGAGCGAGCGGGTCTCTGAAGCGTCAGTCTTGCGAGAATCGTGAGGGAATCTTTCAGCAATGGCGCAATTCCTCCGTATATCGTGAGGAACTCCAAGACGAGAGCGTGATTCCTGAGTGTCGAGGGCGCCGCGCCTCAACAAATTGCGAGGAAGTCCCAAGACGAGAGCGGGATTCTGAGGTAAATTGCACGGAGGTCCCGAGCGGGAGCGCGACTTTGCATACGTCCGGAAGGAGTATCAGACGGGAGCCGTCGTCGTTGTTGTTGGTGGTGGTGGCGGTGGTGGTGGTGGTGTTGATGTTGCTGCAGTTCGGGGGGCAACAGTGCGGTCGGGAGATCCAGGAGTTCCCCATAGTGGCACACGGGGCCGAGCCCCGGGAGGGGCACGACACAGTGGGCAGCCACCGGAGGGGGGATCCACAACAAGCATAACCAACAGACACAATCCTGGCCACAGAGTCCCACTCTAGCCACGCAGCCACGGATGGTGTGAGACCGCTCGGCTTCTCCTCCTCCTCCTCCTCCTCCTCCTCCTCCTCCTCCTCCTCCTCCTCCTCCTCCTCCCCGTCGTGGGTCGTGCCCCCTGCCCCAAAATGGCCGCGCGAGAGCCGCACGACTCGACGGACGAGGCAGGCGCAAGGCACGACGGCGACGACGACGAAGGACTCTCGTGCTCTGCCGTTCTTTTCGCCCGCGGAAAGACGGCCCCAGGAGGGTGGAGCAGCTGCAGGAGCTCGCCGACGTGCACGCCAACGGCCCAGCCCTCGGCGGCGGCCCCGGGGGAGCTCTGGAGGCTCGGGCCCCCTTGGCAGCCTTCATTGATCTTCAGAAGGGGAAGGGAGGAGCAGGAGGAGGACGGGGAAGGGAGGAGAAGGAGCAGAGGGGGAACGGGCACAGAGAAGAGGCTTTCTCCTCCCCCTCCTCCTGCGCCCCCTCCACCCTCCTTCTCCTCCGCCCTCCTCGTCACCTTGCTGCTGCCCCCCTTCCGTTCCTCTCCTCCTTCTCTTCTTTATGAAAGCCAATGTGGCTCGGGTGAATCATGTCTCGATGCCGTTCCGAGAGTAGCTGGCACCAGCCTGTGGGGGTGGCCAGCCTCCATGCATCGCCTGCGGGAGATGAACTGACTGAGCCTCATCAGACGTATGCTCACGAGGCTCACTAATAGATCGAGACTGCTCAGCGAGACTTGCGGTGGCAACGCCGTTGGCGAATGCTGCCATTGATCACAGGACCCTCCTGCATAGACTTCTTCGTTTGTTTCCGAGCCAGGGGAGTCAAAGAGCCACGGCGTCGACAACGGACTGCGCCACCATCGCCGCCGTACCGTCGACCGAATCCGCAATTCAAACCGACGCCGTGGTAATCGCGACCGCTGTCAAGGAGGCGAACTGCGCAGGGCTGTGGCCGCAGTGAAGCGTCTGGGGACCGTTCGGGCCGTGATGCTGCCAGAGAGGCTCGAGGCCAGGATCCGGATGCCGCACTGCCCGATGTCGCCAACCCTTCTTCCGACCTCCTCGGCACGAGCGGCATGGCGGCCCTCAGGCTGGCGTGCTTGCTCCTGCTGCTGCCGCTCCACAGCTGTCCAGCGAGGCCTTTTCGCGCCTGGTGCTCCGGCCGCCCCCGCAGGACCTGGACGGCCGCTTCCTCGCACGCCGGCGGGAGGCCTGGCTGCTGGGCGCGCGGTGCTGCAGCTCCTTCCCGGCGGCGGAGAGCTGGCCCTCCTCGCGGCGCGGTTTCCGCTTCGGCAGCGTGGCCTCTTTGGAGCGCTGCCGCGGGGGTGCAGCGGACGGAGGCACGGCTCACGTCTCTTCAGCATCTTCTTGGCGTTTGACGCTTTGGGCACTTCATGGATGCACTTGTGCAGCGCGAGCGAGGTGACATGGAGTGGGTGCGTGGAGCAAGGTGCGCCGAGGCGCCCCAGCGATCTGGGAGGTGCCCTCGGGGCGCCCGCGGCGAGCCCCAATGGTCGCCCACGCGATGCGGACACGATGTCCGCATCGGACGCACGTCGGCGGCGATCCTAGATGCCGTCAACATCGCACTGTATGCTTACGCGGTGTGGTTTCAGCTATACGGATATCGTTAACACTCGCCCATCAGCCTATCGGTCTCGGTCCGCTGGCCGTCCTGCTGACAGTGTGCAAGGACGTTTGCATGGAGCTGAGATTCAAGTGTCTCGAATTTGAGGACGTATTGCTGTCAACCGATCCTGCATCAGGCACAAAACAGGTGCCGTAAGCATCGCGGCGGTTGCCGCGGCTCGGGCACAAGTGGCCGTTGTGGCGGACAGCATCCAGACGCAGCTCACGCGCGAAAAGGAGCGGACCACCGGAGGCATCGAGACCTTCGGCATAGATCTAAGCTGTCACGTTGTGATCGCGCTTGCATCGCCTCTTCACTCAAGACGCTGCTGCCGCAGAGCATGCCATAATTGTGTGATGCTCTGCCTCCAGCGCAGTATGCAGACGCACGCGACCGTCCAGTTAATTCGGCACTTCCATCGGCGGCCTTGCGTAATGGGATCGCCGTGTCGACCCGCGCATCTGTTCGGTTGGGATCTCTGAGTCTGCCGCGCCGCAAACTGTTCTGGCTCGCCTGCGCCAGTGGTTATCTGACTCACGTGCCTTGGCACCACACCGAGCTCATTGGTGACGTGTCTGCCCGCTTCGTTACCTGCCGCCCTGACCACTGTGGCCTCCTGCGCCGCCGCCGCCACTAAGGAGGAGAGGAAGGCCGCATGACGCCGCAGCTCGGCAGTTGCACGCCCAAGCCTCCTGCCCGGGCCAGAAGGCGTAAGAGTTGCTGGATGCAGCGCTGACAACGAGACGAGAACAACGATAACAGCGAATACAGCGATAACAACCATCGTTGTGATCGCTATAATCCGTGTGATTGCTGTCATCGTTGGCATCGTTGTCGTTGTTATCGCTGTTATCGTTTTTCCCGCTCGGGCTGCCACTCCGCCTAGAATTCCCGCCAGCAGCCCGACAGCCGATTGCCGCACTGCCGCGCAGTAGCGTCCGCGGCTTGACCTCCATCCGCAGAGAGCGCTGGACCGTCTGGCCGTTGCAGGCTCAGGGAAGTGCTCCCGTCGCTCGCTGCCTCGGTGTCGCCGACGTAGTGTTCGCTTTCTCGTCGCGGGTGGCCCTTCTCTCCTGGACCCTCTTCCGGCCCGTTTGGTTGCACTTGTTCCTCCCCTCCTTCCTCGTCTCCCGTCACTTCTCCTCTTCCTCTCCCTCGCCTTCTCCTCTCTTGCTCCTGGCTTGCTGTGTCCTCTCTGTCCCTTTCCGCCTGCCCACCCGTCTGCTTGATCCCGCCAGCCCTGGCCCCCGCCTGCGCGTTCGCTGTCGTCTGCTTGCTTCTCGTTCCCTTTCGTCTTCTCCGTCGCCGCGCAGAACCGACTGCCGGGTGCCAGCAGCGGACTCTCGGACGCGGCCTTGCCTTGGTGGAGCTCCCTTTTCTTCATCTGGCTTCAACCACAGCCCATGCAGTTTCTCACCGCGGGAAGCACCATGGTAGAGGAGTTTGGGCCTTGAGGAGCAGGAGGACAGGGAGGATGATGCGGACAAGGATTTTGAGGCTGAGGGGAAGGAGGCTACAATAAGGATGGTGAGGATGAGGGAAAGGAGGTTCAGAGGTGGATTGTGACGACGGGAAGGAGGGGGAGGATCCGGAGCAGGAGGAGGAGCAGGCCGACTTGGACGAGGAGGATGAGGAGAAGGAGGAGGAGGAGGAGGAGGAGGAGGAGGAGGAAAGGGAACGGAGGACGGCGAGGAGGGAGAGGGCTCGCCACGTGGTGCTGCTGTTAACGCCGGGGCTTTCAGCTCTCCCGCAGGGGTTATGGCTGCGACGCCCGTGCGCCGGGCGGAGGGCAGACGGGGCCGCCAGAAGCGACTTCCGTCGAAGAGGGCCTGCCTTGAGGGGGCTGTGGTGGGTGATGCGGGTGCTCGATCGCGGTGCGGCAGGTTTGTGTCGCGTCGGCACGGCGTCGGACCCAGCGCGGGCGTTCAAGGTTGAGGGCGGCCAGTGGCCCAGAACCGGCCGATATCGAAGGATCTGGGCTGTCGGACAGCGGGGGTCGCTCAAGGTTGAGCAACCCACGCTGCGTCAGAAACCATCGCCTGAGTAGTCACGACACGAACCCGCCGATAGCGTTGAGTGGTGGGTTGAGTGCTGATGATGGGTGGCGGGTGTGAGTCCGCGTCGTCCTACTTCCGTGACGCCGTTTCCTTGTCGTCGTGCTCCTCTTCGCTGAGACCGAGGGCGGCGCGCACAAGGGGGTCCCTCGAGGGGGGCGGCCCTCTCACAATGTGTGACTTCATAGAAGGCAGGGGTCAGCGTAGAAGTGCCTGGGTGTTTTTCAAGCCCTCCGCCTTCTAGCTGGCCCGCCTTTGAGAAGGCGCCCCCTTGCGTTACCCCGTTGTGCGCCGCCCGTGTTTTTTCTACCATCTCTTGCTCGCTGAGAACGGGTCCTTCACCCTGAAAGCCTATGGGGTTGGTTTCGTTGGCTTTCTTCGTGGCACTTCAGTTCGGGACATGGCTCAGATAGTTCACGCTAAGCATGCATCAACTGTACCGATGCCCTCATGCATCGGGGTGGGTGGGTGGGAGGGGAGGGGAGATGGAGAGAAAGAGGGAATAGATGGGGAAGGGAGGAGACGAATGGACGGCGGAGAGAGAGAAAGGAGAGGAAAGAGGCGCAGGGGAAAGTTGGTTCGCTTGTAGACGAGCCAGGCGGTCAAGCGGGTGTTCTTGATAGTTCCTTCTTCCTTTCCCCGTACCCATCGGTCGTTGAAAGTGGCCATTTTCTGGAGTCACAGATTCCAATGCACCTTAATCGCCTTCCTACTTCAATGATCAAGCGCCTTCCTGGTTCAATGATCGAGTGGCTTCACCTTTTTCCCGTCCTCTTCAAAGAGCGGGCGGACACCCAATATATTTTCAGCGCCTTCTTACTTCATGTTTCTACCTACTTCTTCCGACCGGTACCCGCGTAACGCATCAAGCGTGAGTCATCTCGGGATCGGCTCGTCCACGATGTGTCGAGCTCATTAGTGCTTGTAGGTTCAAGGGTGTGGAGGATGGGGCGGAAGGTTTTGCTCCGTGGTCATTACGATGATGCTCATCATCATCAGTGACGCCGTCATGGTAGGGGCAATTGGTATTGATCTATCACGCACTGCTCGAGTGGCGTGGCCCAGTGCACTTGCAGCAGGCACTGCAGATGAGCGATGGTGCCAATGAGGGCAGGAGCGACCGCGCGATGGGAGTCCGCAGGGCCTGGTCCTGGCGCTCTCAGAGCCTGCGGGTTCAGGCCGTGAGGTCGACGAGCTCGACCATTTCTGGCCCTACCGGCACCAGCTCTGAGGGGTCGCAGGTCGCAAGGACCCGGGCCTGAATCTTGGGGGCCGTGCGTCCTTCCCCCCCCCCCCTTCCCTGCCCTCCGAGAGAAGCCTCCCCGTCCCTCGCCCCCCCTCACACCCCTCCCCCTCCCCTCCTGTCCTCCCCCTCCTTCGCTTCCTCCGATCCTATTCCCCATCCTCCCATCCTCCTTCTTCCCCTCCTCCTCTTTCCCTCCTCCCACCTCTTCCCTCTCCTTCTACTCCTCGTTGTCCTCCTCCTCTTCCTCCTTTAGCGTCGGCTCTGCAGGGCTGACTATTCCCTCCACACCGCATTTTAATTTAGCCCGATACTGCTACGTCTCCGGCGCTCGTTCAGTCGAGGCAGCGTGTCTCTCTTGGAATCTCAATCGATAGAGTTGAGGGATCACGGTGACAAGTGCAGTCCCAGCCATCCGCATAACGACTACGGTGTTGGACGGGGCCAAGCACAAACACATGTTGAGCATCCTTCAATACATTCTTTTGTATGCCGGCACGTCTGATCGTGTGCAAGACATTGCTGATATTTCTCGCAAGTTTGATTTTACTTGTCTCATGCGTGCTGGAGTGCAGAGGTATGGTCAAGCTGGCGCGGCTACGTGGCGCAGAGCAGGTACTCGGTGGTGCCTGAACGCTGGTTGGGCTCGGTCACTTCAGAGCAACAAATCTTGTTGTTGTGCCATCATCCTCGGCCCACATGTTAAACGAAACTCTGTGGTGCAGACATGGGTAGCTCCAACTGCAGGCCTACGGGTTGCACTCCGCGCTCGAAGCAACAAATACGACGTCACAGCGGTATCAGTTAATTTCCCGCCGATCCCGGTGCAGGCCAGCCAGTTCGAAGTATATGATCAGACCTGCGACTTTCTCACCAGTTGGTTTCGGTCGCTACCGTTCTGGGGTGCACATCGGTGTTCCCCCATCGTACGTGCAGACCTCGACTCGGGGTTCGGCTTGACCAAGCTCGAAGCCACGGACCTCTGGCGGCCGACCGACCGACCGACCGCCATCACGATCAGGTAAGGCAGCGTTACTCGGGAAAGGCACTTCACCACTTTCTTGAAATGACCGACGTGGTGGTTTTGACCACACGTCATGGATATGGACCGACATATTTTAATTGCAAAGGACAGGGTAGCCAGCTTGACACTATCATTGTTCAGCGCTGTTCTCTTCCAGTGACCAAATCAGCATGTTTAATGTGCCAACAGGGCAAATTGCTTCAACCCATCGTATGAGGCATTCCTCGTGGCCACTCCCGTGATCATGCCAGGTTTGCGTGCGACTTCACGGACCCGCTGGGTTTTCCACCGTGACATCAATGGACCGACTTCGGCTTGGATTCGTCCAGTCTTCTTGCAAGTGGGATCGTGACGCACGCGTGGACGGACTACGCAGAGGCACTCACCGAGCGGAATTTCTCAACAGCGTGGAGCAGCGTATTTCCGCTGATGTTGGCGAGCGGAAGCAGTTTCAGCGAGAAGAGCAGACTCCCAATCGTGACGGGGCCTACTTACTACAGGTACTGAACGACGCGGGCGCTGAGCATTACACTTAAAAGCCGACCCCTTCAAAATATTATAAACGGCTTGCTGGTCACTTTTGAATCAAGATTTCATCCGCCAACGCAGGCAACTACGAGAGCAACTGGGGACATCAGTACATCTTAACGGAGTGGCTAGGACGGTTCGAACACACCCACGGATACTCGTCGTAAATATTTCGTTTTCTGGAGGCAGGACATCACTGAGGAGCTCATTCAGGCGCGCAATAAGGATCGCACACAAGAAGTCGCTTGGCTCTCTCGGCTCCTCTCAGCTAGGGGCACTGGACCGGGGAAACGCAACTACAAGTACGCCGCAGCAGCAGCGCCCTGTTCCGAGGACCTCAAGGCTAGGCCCCAGTTGCCCTCTAGCCAAGGCGGGCCCCAGTCCACCATCGTAGTCTGGTCCCAGGAGACGGAGGATTTTTTTGCATCACCCTGATGTCGGTCTCGACGCAGAGGAGATCATGTTCTCCTTTCACCAAGGACGGACTCCAGTGGGCCATTGGGGAGTTCCAGTTGATTTCCAGATATCTTCGGACAGCGAGTGAGAGATAAGCGGCTTCCCCCTGGCCCCTCCCCCTTGGGATCTCTTGGATGCCCCTGCGCCCGCGTGGAAAGATTTCCCCGAGGTTCAAATGCAGGTAGCGAGGGCCCCGAGATCGACCAGAAATGGAATATGTACTTAGACGACCACCCTGCGGGTGATAAGGAGGTCGGGGGGGGAGAGGGGGGCCAGCAATGGACAAGAGTTGTGATTGTTGCGTTGCCGCTCGCTCTCGGGAGCCTTGGCGTCGAGTTGTTTATGTCGTCCTTTGCTCTTGGGCGCCTTAGTAGTAGTCCCCTCCCCCCCGGGCGCCAACGAAACAATAATTTATTTCGTTCATTTTGCAAGGGCTTTGGGGGCCGTTTGGGCGCGCGTTTTGGACCTCTTGGGGGGTATTGGAGGCCTCTTAGGAATGGGGGGCTCGATCTCGCTGTGGATCTTGCTATCGATCTCGCGTTCTCATTTTCTGGCCACTTGGAGGCCTCTTGGGTCTTCGATTTCACTCTGGATCTCGCAACCGACCCGCTAGCGATCTCCCTATCGATATCACTCGATCTCACAAACGATACCACTATTCATCTCACTATCGATCTCACGTTCGATCGCACTATCGGTTTCACTATCGATCTCACATTCGATCTCACCATCGATTTCGCTATCGGTCTCACTATCGTTTTCGCGCCAGCGGGGCGCCGGGATACCGGCGGGACACCGGCGGGGCGCCGGCGGGACACCGCGGGACACCGCTTACCGGAGGGGGAATCATTTGGTCTGGCCAGGGCCCAGCCACAAGCGGGACAACAGCGGGACACCGGCGGGACACCGGCGGGACACCGCGGGCCACCGCTTGCCGGAGGGGGAATCATCATGTGGTCCAGCCGCGCCTCAGCCACAGGAGACTTTCCTCTCGCCCGCCCGCGCAGCTTCGCCTCGCCCGCGCGCGCGGCGCGCGCGAACACGGAACCGTAACTGATTTCCCGGCGGTGGCTCTCCGTCCCACTTCGATCTCACCCCCCAACCTCCGGCCGCTTGCAAGCGCGCCTGCGTCGCATAGATTGGTCTGGACAGACCCCCGTAGCCAGGCATTTATCACAAGACAGTGCTGTCAAATTCTAAGTGGCTGGCGCGCCCTCTGCCCGCTCGGCAAGGCATTTATCGCGGCGGGGCCTTGTCCTGGCCAGCGAGACCGAGAGCCCCGTGTCTGCTCGCGATTGCGCGGCTGGGCGACGGAGAGAGACGCCGACGATGATCCAGCAGAGTTTGAGCAGGCGTCTCCGTCGCCCGGGGCTGGCGGCGCATTCGAGACCGCGAGGATATCTGCAATGCCTTCGGCAGCGCCGGCTGAATTCATTGGGCCATCGCAGACCAGGGCGTCGCGAAGCTTGGCGAGGCCAATTACGGGAAACAGCGTTTTCGTAGACCCGCTGTCGCCTTCCAAGGTCCCGACGGATTCCTCTTCGCCGAGCCTGGTGCCAGGGCGCCCCGGGGGGGCCGTGGGCCGTCGAGGTTATCATTCGGGACATCGGCGTCGTTTTCGAACGGGCACAGTTCGAGTGTCTCGAGAGCGACGATCGCGCGCCCTACTGGCGCATAGGGACACGCCGCCAGATGGGGAGGTGATGAGCCCGTCGATCTAGACCTTTGGTTTCGCACCTACGACGCGGCCAAACCTCTCGCCCTGGCGTCGCGCGCGACGCAGAATCGCGAGGAGTTTAGTTTGAAGTTGTTCTACTACAACGACCTTCTCTCCAGAGGCCTCCGAGCGCGCAACTACCTCCTCAATCCAACCAAGAACGAAACTGGCGTCGCGCTCTCTGGGGCTGGCCCTCAGATTGGCTGCGCCAAGTTCAAGGCCCGACTCGCGTCCGCGGCAGGTGCGCCCAGCGACCTCGCAAATATGTCGGGGGGCATCACCCGCTCCGGCTGCGCGTCTAACAGCGAGCCCCCAGCCCGCGTGGCAGCCATGGGCGCAGGGTTTCACAGTATTTGCCGATACTGCTATCAGCATGGTATTCCACCAGTGGAAAAATTGTTTCTTCTATTTCGTTTCCCCTCTCCCCCCGGGTCCTCGGGCCAGCAGCATCAGGAGTGGAAGCGTTCATTATAACGCTAGCGCGGCTTCGGAAGCTACCAACTTGAGCACCACGCTACGCGAGGAGTGCCATGAGAGGAGGAGCTACACATGAGAAGGAAGGGCACGAGGTATCGGCCGCCATCGCTCATGTCCATTGTTTTTGGCAGATGGACAGTCCAATGGGGATGGCCATGGAATTCATGGGTCGGCGCACGCGGAGTCACCGCCGAATTTGCCGACGCTCCGTCAATACGGCCGATGATACCTCGCCATCGGCGGCCTTGCAGAACGCCAGCGGCACCTACATCCACAAAGGTGCCCGCATTTCGGGTGGTTTGTCAGAGTCGCAGTCGGTTGCGCGCGGTCGGTTCAGTTCGGTCGTTTGTTATGTCGTTGTTACGATGGCGCGTTTGGCCTTCTGGGCTGCTCGCAGCTTGCTTGTCGATTTCGTATTCGCTGTTGGTCCCGACGGTTTTCGGTTGCGTTTTCGCCCTGGACGGCCTCGATCCGCAGACCACAAAGGGAGCGAGGCAGCAACGCCGCGCCGTGTCACGGGTCGACGGCGACGGGCCAGTGGCGAGCAGTTCTCGAACAAAAGTGAAGTTGTCATTGCTCCAGTAGTTGCGAAACGGCGCGGTCTCCGTTCGGTGCGCTGTCGTCGTCGTTTAGTATTTAACGGGGTACGTGTTGTTTAGACGCCCGCCCGGATGAAGTGGGGGCGCGGTATGCGCCTGAAGGTCTGACGATCTGTCTTCGGGACTTACTTGGGAGCTCGCATAGACGTCGAGTCCAACGCCGACGCTGTCGCCGCATTTCATTGCGAACTTACGCATGCCCGACCAGCCAACGCCATCGGCGCGCCCACCCCCCTCGGGCGCGCGCGATCACGCGCGGGGTCGAATAACGAGCGAACGACGCACGCCCATACCCATAGGTTGGTCGGAGGGAGGAGGGCTGGTTGTGGGCGTGGGCGCGGGCTGTCCGACCCCAGGTGTGGTTTCCGTTCGAGCGGGGAGCGCCATCCGACAGCGCGCAACCATAGCTCCCTCCTTCCTCCCATGCAGGCATGGGCGCGCGTTGTCCGCTCAGCATCAAAGACGCAGCGCCTGGGCCTGACTCATTGACGCATGCCGCCTTTTGATCGACGCGCGTGGAGGGCAGCGGGCGCCGCTGCGAGCTGCGGTTTTGCACCTCTTCGGCGGGCAGGCCAGGCCAGCCGTGGCTCGGCGACGCGCGCGCGACGGCGATGCCCACTGGCCACGGGCCGCGCCGACGAGCGGATGGCGTCAGAGAGCCGCGTCGGTCACGGTCGGGGTTGCGGTCGGACAGGCATGAGACCGAGGTCGTTTCACGAGGGCACCCTAACGTCTTTCGCGTTCGTTGGATGAGCTTGTGCATTCTGGGGAGGGCGCCCTTGGATGCGCTGTGTGTGGAGGCCGGCGGAGGGCCTCATGTTCTTGGCGGGTGTTTTTCTATGTTTGGTCCGGTTGAATGGCCGCTTCTGCGCAGATCCATGGACAGCGGCAGCAGGATCTTGGCCGCGTCCACTGGCTGGCAATTGGAGCTCGCATCCGAATTGGAGGCGCGCTGGATCCGGCAACGATTCGCCCCGAAGAGGCAGCTCAACCAGCACGGCGTGCACCTCGACGCGAAAGCCTGCAGAACACGTAAAATCAATGGCGTGGACTTTGCGAAGACAGGCTTGATTCGTTTCGTCGCCAAGGCCGCGGACCTCCCTAGGCAGAACGTGTTTCTGAGTGGTATTGGAGGGGTTATTCATCCGTCGCGCGACTACGGCTTGTTCTGTTCGGTCACCGCCAACACGCATGAACGGATATTCATCGCCACCGGCGCCGCAGCCCAGGTGCGCTCAGAGTCAAGGGCCGTTGCGCGCTCGCCCTTGACATGCTGATTCGGCACGCGCGCAGCGTCGTTGAAGGGCCTGGCCGAGGCGACGCTGGGGCCTGCGCGGAAGACGCATGCTCATTGTTGTCTCGGCCCGATGCGTTTCGGCAGTTTGGGGCGTCGGCGTCGTTTTCGAACGGGCACAGTTCGAGTTTCTCAAGAGTGATGATTGCGCGCCCTACTGGCGCAGAGGGACCTGCCGCCAGATGGGGGGGTGATTAACCCGTCGGGTTAGATTCTGGTTTCACACCTGCGTCGACGATGCCGCCTAAATTTGCATCCCGGCGGCAAGCGCGACGCAGAATCGCGACGAGGTCAATGCTAAATCTTTCTACTACAACGACCTTCTCTCCAGAGGCCTCCAAGCACACAACTACCTCCTCCATTCAACCAAGAACGAGATTGCGGTCGCGCTCTTCGGGGCTGGCCCTCAGATTGGCTGCGCCAACTTCGAGACCCGACTCTTGGCCGCAGCAGGTGTGCCCAGCGACCTCGCCAATATGTTGGGGGCATGATCCGCTCCGGCTGCGCGTTTAACGGCGAGCCCTCAGCCCGCTTGGCTGCCATGGATGCAGGGTTTCAAAGTATGGGCCGGTACTGCTATCGGTATGGCATTTCACAAGTTGAAAACATTCGTTTCTTCTTGCGAGTTTTCCTCGTCGCCCCCCCGTGTCCTTGGGCCAGCAGCATCAGGGGTGGCAGCCATCCATTCTAACGCTAGCGCGCCTTCAGAAGCTACTAACTTGAGCACCACACTGCGCAAGGAGTGCCATGATAGGAGAAGCTACACATGAGAAGGCCGGGCACGAGGTATCGGTTCCCAACATGCAGGTCCATCGTTTTTGGCAGAAAGCCCTATTGGGGCTTGAATTTCATACAGGCCAGGAGGATCAGGCGGCATCCAAAATGCGTGGGGAATCCAAAGGCACGCGTACCAGAGTGGGGGGCGCCTCTAGGCAGCGCGCGGGTGGAATTCGCCAGCGACTTGCGCGTCGTGGGCGGGGGCGCGCGTTTTTGCGCAGCCGCTTGTCCCTGGGCTCGCAGATTTGTGGACGACGTATCGATCGTCGCTTGCAGAGCTCGGTCGGGGACGATGAATGCAGCGCCGTGCAGCAGTTTGATGAACAGCATCTCCATCGGTTCGGATCCAGAGCTGATCGATTTGTTCGCGCTCTTCGACGCGAGAGCGATACGGGTTGTTTCTCGACGATAAGTAGCCCTCCACCACATTGGGCCTGCGTGAGGTTCATGGGCCCTCTGAGGCCCCCATCGTGGATGGAGAGCGCGGTCGCGCAGTCCCTGGGCGCATCTGAAGGTTACAGAGCAGGAGGAAAGTGCTCGCACACCTACACAATCATCGCGGTCTTACATCTATGATTGGGACGGCCGCGGTACATGCTCAAAGTTGACAGTGTTTTTGAATCCGGGTATTCTGCGTACAAACATGTGGCATATCCGTTTCAGCGTTGCGTGTGTGGCCAATCGCAGCGCGACGTTTCGAACGCCCACTTCAATGGTCTCGGGCTGTCCTTTGAGCGAGGCTCAGATTGCTGACGCCTCTCAGCTGTCACATCGTGTTTGCTCGCACTTCTCTCGGCTTCCTCTAGTGCTCGACAGTGGCGGCGATGGCGCCCAACGCCCCAGCGCGGGCGCTCTACGACCGCAGTGCGAGCCAAGCAGCTGGCAGCGACCACGCTTGACGGCGCCTCGAAGAATCGGCGGTGGACCAGGCTCGTCGGCAGGGGCCTAGAGGCAAGGAGGGCGGCATCACGGCGGCCCTGCTCACAACATTTCGCCGGTTTTCGCTGGCCAATGCACGCGGTTTCGCGGAATTCAAAGGCGCTATCTTCTCATGTTTCCTGCTGCCAGCGGCAGCGCCCCTCGTCGAGATAACGCGGACAGCGGGCCAGGACTACGCAGCCGACTGGAAGGGGCAGGGGAAGCAGCGCGACAGCGGGCCTCCATGGCCTTACTTCTGCATGGCGCTGGCGGGACATTTCTTCAGGCGATGGCGCAGTCCGCCGGGCGCGTGGAGCAGCCATCAGCGGCGGCCCCCCAAGCACTATTGGACCCGGACGATCAAGGAAGAGGCATGTGCGCCGCTGTCGCATATGAGCGCGTTGGTGCGACAAGAAGGCAGGTCTGACAATTGCGGACACCTTCAAGCTGCAGTTCATGATGAGTCCTTACATTAAGAGGCAAGCGGTCGCTATCGACGACAACCAACGGCTGATGACGGTCCACGCGGCTCTGCAAGCTTGCGCGCGGAAGGAGGGTGGCAAGCTCATAGCAGCGGCAGCGCCCAAGGTGCCGCTCGAACGGGATGCAGAGCGATTGCTGCAGAAGTTGTGCACGGCGCCAAAGGAGATACCGCAGCAGTTGGCAGATTGAGACATCTTACCGGCAGTAATTTTATTGATGTTGATGGCCCACCCTTTTCCGACCTCTGCCCAGGATCCTGGCGCACCCCATGGCCAGGGCCCGCCTTGCCCTGATGATAAGGAGTTTGATTCTGCCTGTTCCAGGGAAGGCGCGGCTAGCTTCCCTGCTGATCAACAGCAAAGTCCGCGATGGGGCCTCTCGGTTTCGAATTCTGTTCGAGCCACTTCAGAGCCACCTCGTTCCCCCCAGAGCGAGGCCTGTCTGGTCCCACAAATTTCTTTCACTGGTGAAGCCTCTTCGCCAGCTACTGCAGCGACACTCCGTGCTCGCAGGTCATCCATGACAGGGACTTCTGATAGGCCGCCTGCTTCGAGACTAAGGCAGCCCGCGCGCTTGGCTTCGATTCAGAAGTCGATTCGTATGTTGGAATTGGCCACATCGGGCACACCCAATTGGAATCTCTCCAGAGGAAGTCTCAGAGACCGGCCCTGCAGTGCAAATCTGGAGAGGTGAGTTCCGAAGCATTTTTTCAGAGCTACCCGAGTTTGAACCCGCAATAGTTCGGACCTTCCAAGGGGCCGCTCAGGTGAGGACGGCCCCTACTAACCTCACCCCCTCCTTGTTCGCTTCCGATGCGCGTTCCTCGAGTGCGCTGCTGGCTCCTCCTCCACCTCCTCCTCCTTTTCCTCCTTTTCTGCCACCGTCCGAGTTTCTTTATCCTGAACCTGAATGTCGGACGTAGCGCCACAGTTCCCTACGCTGCCTGCTGCTCCTCCCTTCTCTCCGCCCTCTCTCCCGCGGCCGTTGATGCTGCCCGCTCTCGCCCTTCTCCTGGCCTCCGTGTGTGTGTGTGTGTGTGTGTGTGTGCGTGTGTGCGTGTGTGCGTGTGTGCGTGTGTGCGTGTGTGCGTGTGTGTTGGCGGTGTTTTGCTCCTTCCCGCCCGTCGTTCTCCGCGTTCCCTTGTTGTGTCGTTGCTGGGTTGTGGCGTAGGATGAATCGGGAGAGACTTTCGATTCTCCTCCATTGCGGGCCTGCCGCTGGGAGGATGCTGAAGCAGGCCGTCACGGGCCTCTTTCCCAAAGAAAGGTCCTGCTGTGGGCCATTGGTTCCCCCCTAGCGAGGCTGCAGGTTATAGCCCCGTGTTATCCGCAGGTCCTCTTACATATAAGAAGCTGGTTTGCACAGCGTTGCAGGCAGCGGGACTCATCAGGGTCGCGAGCGTTCCAGTCCAGTCCTCCTCCTCCTCCTCGTCCTCCTCTTCCTCCTCTTCCTTCTCCTCGTCACCCTCCTCCTCCTCCTTCTCCTCCTCCTCCTCGTCCTCCTCCTCCTCGTTCGTTTCCTCCTCCTCTTCCTCCTCCTCCTCCTCGGGGCATCTGGCGGGCAGGATCAGGGAACTGGAGGTGCGCATCCTCGCCGGCCAGACCGCCCTGCGCAGCATGCGGCTGCGGGTCAGCGGCACGATGTTGGGCCTTGGCGTCGGCCGCGGGGGCGTAGCCAGCACACCCTTACGTTGCATTTTCGGGGGACCTCGTCCGTCCCCCAACTGAATATCTTCTCTTGTGCCCGGCGCAGGCCCGATGCGGACTCGGCGCAGATTTGGCGTGGATCCGACGCGGACCCGACATGGATTCGACGCGGATTTGACGAAACCGACATGGGTTCGACACGGACTCGACGCGGATAGGGTTGCGACAGGACACAAGGCCCCCTGAAGATGCAACATACCACACCCCTGGCCCCGAGCAAGCATGATAGAGAGCCAGGTCAACCCAAGCGCATCGGATCTCCACTCATCGGCTTCAAAGAACCAATTGGCCTCCCAAGCGAGGTCCGAGTAGATGGAGTCGAAGGAGGAGGAAGAGGAGGAGGAGGAGGAGGAGGAGGGAAGAAGCGGACGAGGAGAAGAAGGAGGAGGGTGAGGAGGAGGAGGAGAAGGAGGAGAAGGTGGAGGGTTATCACAGAAGGAGGAGGTGGAGGAGGAAGAGGGAAGACGAGGGCGAGGAGAAAAAGGAGGAGGAGGTGGAAGGCTATCACAGGAGAAGGAGGGGGAGGAGGAGGAGGAGGAGGAGGAGGAGGAGAAGGAGGGGGAGGAGGAGGAGGGGGCTATGGGTATGACGGCGTCGTAGACGACCAGCACGATTTCCGAGCCTTCCTGGATAGTTTCTGAAGGGCTACGGTTACCCTTTTGAGCCAAGAAGCCCGAGGGACCCAGCGACTCCAAAAACGTTTGGAATTTCTCTGGCAGGTGTTTGCGTGCTTGCGGCGTTCCTGGACGGCCTTTCGATATTTTCTCTCACGTCTTGGAAGCCTCTTGGGGCCCCATGCGGTGCCTCTGGGTATCTTCCTGGAGCGCTGCTGAGCGTTGGGCGCCTCTTGAGGCAATATTGGGCTAGCGTAGGCGGCCTTCGTGGTTCGTGGCCGTCCTGGGCCGCCTTGGAAGCACTGGAGGACCCAGGGGCGGCGTGGGGCCGCCCAGGGAGCCCCTTTTAGGGGGGGATACACGCAGCACTGCGTTGCCGGTGGGGGGTGCGCCATATTAGAGTCAAGCAGTGGCGAAGCGTCCTGGCGTGCCTATAGTCCTGCCAAACAATGTTCTAAGAACCTTGTGTGGTTCCCACGAAATGTTCTTCGAACATTTCTGGCTGGGACTGTCTTGTTTTATCACATCGGGCTTCTGTTCTAAGAACATTGTTTTGTTATTAGAACAGTTCTGGACTCTAAGCACATTTCGTGGCAGGACTGTAAGAATGCCGGGGCGGCCGGTCCCTGCTCAATAGAGACGCTCCAGCAATTCCATCGGACAGCACTTGGAACCCCACCACGCCTCAACGTGCCATGGGGGCACGCCGAGGGGGAAGGGGAGGAGGAGGAGGAGGAGGCGGAGGAGGAGGAGGAGGAGGAGGAGGAGCCAGCTCCTCTTGCTCTGCAACGACGCCCCCTGGCGGGCTTCTCCTCTTCATCTGCTTTTGTTGCTTGTCTTGCTGATTACATTATGGCTATACTTAGGTCGCTTCGCCGAAATTTGTGATTGGCGACACAGACGGTGCAGCCCGTCGATGCTATAACAGGAACTCGTGCTTAGCTTGTCGCGCCGCCGGCTCTGGCCCACCACGCTTGGGTGCTACACACTAGCCACGGCCAAGTCCCCGAACGCCAACGTCCCGAGCATGTCGAATCCTCCCGTCCCAATGTCAGCCAGCAGGGCATGGCGTGTCGCCATGGCCGCCGCCGCGACGCGTTATGCGGGCCCGCTTGTGATCAACAAACCTCCCCCTGAAAATCTGGCCCAGAGTTTCTTAATCAACTTGCCAAAAGATGGTTAAGTTTCTTCAGGGCTTTGGTAGCCTTCGGTTCCGGTTCGCGCTGGTTCGGTTGCCAAAAAGAAAAGAACGATTCCGGTTCGGATGGGGGAACAGGTATAACCGGGTTGGCAAAATTCACATAACAATAACAGTTCGCATTCCGAAACAGTGGTATTCTGGTATTCATGCATCATTGCACGGGTGGTTGCACGGGTCTGCGTTTTTTGCGGCAGCGGCTGTTCGTAGCAGCAGCGGAATCCTAGGTCTGCCCGAACCAACCATGAGGCCGAGCCCTGAGCTCTGAGTCTTGAGCTCGGGCTGGAGCCCGAGCCCGGAGCTTGAGCCCGAGCCAGGCCTGAGCCCGCCCGAACCCGAAGGCCGAGCCCTGAGCCCGAACCCCAAGCCCGTGCTCGAGCCCTGAGCCCCGAGTCCTCCCGAGCCCTGGGCCCCGAGCCCGAGCCCTGAGCCCCGAGCCCTGAGCTCGGAGCTCGGAGCTCTGAGCCCTGAGCCCTGGGCCCGGAGCCCGAGCCCCGAGCCTGAGCCCGAACCCGAGGCCGGGGCCCGAGGCCGAGCCCGAGCTCCTCCTCCTCCTCCTCCTCCTGCTCCTCCTCCTCCCTCCTCCTCCTCCCTCCTCCTCCTCCTCCTCCTCCTCCTCCTCCTCCTCCTCCTCCTCCTCCTCCTCCTCCTCCTCCTCCTCCTCACTCCTCCTCCTCCTCCATCCAAAGTGGGGTTAGGTTCTTGTTTTCTTTGGACACCCTCCGCGCAGGAGCCTCCCTCCCACCCTCCGCCTCGCTCACGCATTCACCCCGTCATTGGTCATCATCACCATCGGTCATCATCGTCACCACCAGCATCATCATCATCATCATCATCATCATCATCATCATCATCATCATCATCATCATCATCATCATCATCATCATCATCATCATATTCTGTCACCCACCATCGATCACCACCACCATCGGCCATCGATCGTCATCATCATCAGCATCACCACCACCGCCACCATCATCATATTCAGTCGTACATCACACATACTCTCTCTCTCATCACTTAGCATCATTTTCTCTGGACAACCCGCGCAGGAACATACTCAGTCGCACATCACACACGCTCTCTCTCTCTCTCTCTCTTTCCCCCATCATTCAGCATCATCAAGCGGGAGCCTCGTCTTTGAGTGAATTGTGAGGAAGTGTCAGGCGGGAGCTCCCTCCCTATGGGGCCCGCATTTCATGTTGGTAATCCGAGCGGGTCACCTTCGAACCTGTGACTGTCGTCACCTTTGGGCTCCTGAGGCTTGAATATGGGGGAAGGAAGTATCAGGCGGGAGCCTCGTCTGTGAGTGAATTGTGAGGAAGTCTCAGGCTGGAGCCCCCTCCCTATGGGGCCCGCAGCTCATGTTGGGAATCCGAGCGGGTCAACCTCGAACATGTAATTGTCGCCATTTTTGGGGCCCTGCGGCTTGAATATTGGGGGAGTGTCAGCTCGGCACCTCGTCTGTGAGTGAACTGTGAGGAAGTCTCAGGCGGGAGCCCCCTCCCTATGGGGCCCGCACTTCATGTTCGTAATCCGAGCGGGTCATCCTCGAACCTGTAATTGTCGTCACCTTTGGGCTTCTGCGGCCTGAATATGGGGGAAGTATCAAGCGGGAGCCTCGTCTGTGAGTGAATTGTGAGGAAGTCTCAGGCGGGAGCCCCCTCCCTATGGGGCCCGCATCTCATGTTAGTAATTCGAGCGGGTCATCCTCGAACTTGTAACCGTCGTCGTTTTTCGGCTCCTGAGGCTTGAATGTTGGGGAAGTATCAGGCGGGAGCCTCGTCTTTGAGTGATCATTGTGAACTGTGAGGAAGTCTCAGGCGGGAGCTCCCTCCCTATGGGGCCCGCAGTTCATGTTGGGAATCCGAGCGGGTCAATCTCGAACCTGTAACCATATTCATGCTTGGGCTCCTGAGGCCTGAATATCGGGGAAGTATCAGGCGGGAGCCTCGTGTGTGAGTGAGCTGTGAGGAAATCTCAGGCGGGAGCCCCCTCCCTATGGGGCCCGCACTTCATGTTGGTAATCCGAGCGGGTCATCCTCGAACCTGTAACCGTCATCATTTTTCGGCTCCTGCGGCTTGAATGTGGGGGAAGTATCAGGCGGGAGCCTCGTCTGTGAGTGAACTGTGAGGAAGTCTCGGGCTGGAGCCCCCTCCCTATGGGGCCCGCACTTCATGTTGGTAATCCGAGCGGGTCACCTTCGAACCTGTGACTGTCGTCACCTTTGGGCTCCTGAGGCTTGAATATGGGGAAAGTATCAGGCGGGAGCCTCGTCTGTGAGTGAATTGTGAGGAAGTCTCAGGCCGGCGCGCGCTTCCCTTGTGTCGTCTTCTGGCGCGTATCCGCCAGGACGCACGTCGTGCGTTTCCTCTGGGTCGTGTTCCGCACGAGGAGGAGGAGGAGGAGGAGGAGGAGGAGGAGGAGGAGGAGGAGGAGGAGGAGTAGGAGGAGGAGGAGGAGGAGAAGGACGAGGAGGAAGGGGAGGAGGAGGAGGAGTCAGAAGGAGGAGGAGGAAGGAGGATGCAGGAAGAGAAAGAGAAGCAGGAGGAGGAGGAGGAGGAGGAGGAGGAGGAAGCAGAGGGCGAGAAGGACGAGGAGGACATGGGGAAAGAGGAATGCCCTAGGAGGCCCCAGGATGTCCCGGGAGGCCCAGAAGGCTCCAGGAGGCCCCAAGAGGCCCCAAGAGTCCCCAGGAGGAGGCAGGAAGCCTAAGGAGGAGACAGGAGGAGGGGGAGGCGGAGGACCGCGTGTCTGGACCGCGAGCGGTGGGGGCCCGCTGGGGTTGCGGAAAAGCCGCCCCGTGACGAGTACCACCGCCCCTTCGGGCCTACGGGCCAGCGTCATGTCGGGGCGTCGGGCCGAGGCGCGTTGTCCCGCCCCGGGGACACCGTGTCACGGTCCAATGGGCGAGGCGCCTCTCCCAGTCGGGGGGCGGGAAGTGAAGCGGGGGGGGGAGGGCAGAGACGAGCGAGAGGGCGGCGCGAGGGAGGGAGAGCACTGGAGGTGGGGGGGGAAGGGATGGGCGCGCGCTCCCCCTCCCCATCCATGGGCTGCACTGGCTGAGCTCCCAGCGCGGGCGGAGGGGGGGGGGGAAGATGGAGGAGGAGGAGGAGGAGGAGGAGGAGGAGGAGGAGGAGGAGTCGGAGGAGGGAGAGCGAGAAGACGAAAATGGAGAGGGGAGGCGGAGGAGGAGGAGGAGGAGGAGGAGGAGGAGGAGGAGGAGCAGGAGGAGCAGGAGGAGCAGGAGGAAACAGAGGAGGAGGAGGAGGAGGAGGAGGAGGAGGAGGAGGAGGAGGGAAAACAGCAGCAGGAGGAGGAGGACGCAGGAGGCAGGAGGAGCATGGGGAATGGGGGGAGGATGCATAACGAGGAGGAGGAGGAGGTGGTGGTGGTGGAGGATGCAAGAGGAGGAGGCAGGGGTTGAGGCAGGAGGAGGAGGAGACACGAGGAAAAGGATGAGGCAGGAGTAGTTGGGAGAAGCGAGGGGGCAGGAGGATATCCCCAGGCAGGCTAAACATATTATCATGTGGGATCCAACCGTCGGAGTATTTGTTATTGAATCATATATCTGTCAGTTCGCAAACCAGGCGTATCATTGAATCCTAGTTTCTGAGCCAGGCGCATCTAGCGCATATGATGCATTGAAACGTAATTCCGGGGAGGTTAAGCAAAGTGGGTAGAGGTATTGAATAATGCAAGAAGTGTTCTCATTATAATGTCAGCCGTTTTTGTTATTGTCGTGGTGAGCGGACTTACGCTTCTGGCTCCAAAAGTTGGCACAGCTGTCTTAGTTTATAATTTTCTGAATCGTACTTTTCATTGTCCGCGTGGGGGGGTACCCTCTTGACGGGGGTCAGCCTCGCCTCGTCGTCGCGCCGCGACGGGGGTCGGAGCGCCTTCGGCGCGCGGTGGCTGCCCGCGACGGGGGTCGATGTGGGGCTGTCTGCGGGGGTGACGAGCTCGTCCTTCCCCTTCCGCTTCCTCGTCTCCACTCCTCCTCCCCCGGCCGCTGGGGGCCGTCTCCTCGCTCCACCCGCGGCGCGGGGCGAGGGGTGCGCGGCGCCGCCCAGGCTGCGCGTGCCTGGCGCAGCTGGGCTATCACTCGGACGAGGCCGACCAGGACGTGTCCGCCGTCCTCGTCGCAGTCGTCTCCGGGCGCCGCCAGAGGTCGTTGCGACCGTCGTCGCCGTTGTCGTCACAGCCTCCACGGTCGCCGTGGTCGTCTTCGTCGTCTTCGGCCGTCGGCGTGCCGCCAGAGGTCGTCGCTGTCTTCGTTGTCGTCCTCGGATTCGTTCTCGACCTCCTGCTCCCCATCCACCTCCACTTGTTTCTCATCCTCCTTCCTCCTCCCACCTCAGGCCCCCTGTAAAGACCATTGGCGGCCGTGGGAGAAGAGCCATGGGCCTGCAAGGACAGATTCTCTCACGGCAGCGAGGCTCCGTTGCAGGGTGCACCTCCAGAGAGTGTCAGACAGTTTGCTTGGCTAACCCCAGGAAGCATTTAAGAACCCCCCCCCCCTTCCGGCAAATCGATAACCCTTCCGCACCCTGGAAGCGTTACCTGGCACCAGGAGCCCTCCTCCTCCTCCTCCTCCTCCTCCTCCTCCTTGCGAATATTAATACTATTATCATTGCATGAATTTTCCAAGCAGCAAGCGACATCCTGAGTCTTTCATGAGAGCCACGCAGATTAGAATTTCGAATTTCGATTGTGGCCCAGGGGCCAGGCCTCCGCGAATTTGTTGTGTGTCCGGGTGCTAAACCTATCGTTCGGTTATTTCGGCCCCTCGGAATATCGAATAAAAATGCGGTGCTAAGATATCGCCGGGGGGGTTCTTAAATGCTTCCTTGGGTTACGCTGGGCGTTTCCATCAGCAAAGTTGAACGTCGTCAGCGGAAACATGTCCATGCATGGCTTTCTGTAGCGGTGGGAAAACACGAAATTGCGGATGCCCAGGATAGCAAAACCCGAAATATCTTTGGGACAAGTCGTATGTTCGGGAGGTTAGCGGGAGCGGAGAGGTCGCACAGGATGGCCATTGCATGGATATCGTTTCTCCGAGTCTAGTAATCGATCATGGTCGTAGATCTGGTCTGCGGGCTTGCCCACAGGATTTCGACATTCTCGCTTCGCCAGTAGCAGTGTAGTAGCTTCTAAGTGTCATTCAGATCCATCGCCGCTCCGACGAGCCGTGGGTTAATTATACGTTCAGTAGGCCGCAACTTTCAACGCATGTGGCCATGAGGCCCCAGACGTTAGTTGAAGTCCAGGGTCGACATGGAAGAACGCTGCCTGAGCGCGCGCTCAGACTCCCACGGCAAATGGAGCCAGACATTCCACACTGGAAGCCGGCATTGTGCACACAAGTCTGGAGTTGAATGAGCATGTCTATCAAGCGATGTGTGAATGTGTAATTCCATGTTTCATGAGCCAGTGCTGTCATTTGCTTGCATAGTCGATCCAATTGGGATTGCCGGATGTCAGGCTGCTCACGCTTTGGCACGTGCCACAACAGCCCCAGTCGACGCGGCGACACCAAACATTTCTACGCCATCGCCTGTCTACGCGGTACCAGGTTCTCGCATTTTTGTTGGAACAGCATACGCCCCACCGCGGTAAACCGCAATTCCCCACCACACATTACCATGTATAGTATGGCGTCCACCGTTTTATTTCCGCCGTAGTGCATGCTCCGCGGCACATTGAAGCTGTCTGATCTCTCCACCCGACGGCCGTCCCATCGTTCGCACCTTGCGCCCTGGTACAAAGCACTCGTCACGAACGCCTCCTGTGCGTAGACACGGCACTTTTCGGGTTGGCAGCGCCGAAATTTTGGCGGCTTCTGGCATTATTGATACCGGTGGGCCCTACATTTTCATTTCCGCTGTGCATGTTCGCGTTGTTGATAGCAACCCTTTTACGTCGGATAAACCGCACCTTCATTGACACAGGGATACGTCACGGTGCCAGAAATCGTGCCAACCATTGGCAAGCCTTTCGGAGGCAGCTTTTGTACGACAGTGACACCGTGGAGATTGGAACAGATCTACCCGCTCACCAGTCCTGGCAACAGTCATTACGCAGCCCCGCTGATCGAATGTCCAACTCGTTATTCATCACGAGTTCTTGGCTGTCTCTTAGAAGCAGCCTGCTTGGTCACTGTTCTGCAGATGGCAGAGAGTATCAACGAGTCCAGCTTGACCACGACAAGGAGAAGATCAGCGACACATGATACTCACCGTTTGATAACACGGCGAACTGCGAGGGCGATTCAATGAGGATGGCCATGGCATTCATAGGTCGGCGCATACGGAGTCACCGCCGAATTTGCCGACGCTCAGTCAATACGGCCGATGATACTTCGCCATCGGCGACCCTGCAGAACGTGAGCGGTACCTACATCCGCAAAGGTGTCCGCATTTCGGGTGGTTTGGTTGAGTCGCAGTCGGTTGCGTGCGGTCGGTTCAATTCGGTCGTTTGTTATGTCGTTGCCACGTTGGCGCGGCCGGCCTTCTAGGCTGCTTGCAGCTTGCTTGTCGATGTCGGTTTCGTTGTCGGTTTGGACGGTTTTCGATGGTGTTTTCGCCCTGGACGGCCTCGATCCGTATCTCACTTAGTGAGCGAGGCAGCAACGCCGCACCGTGCCACGGGTCGACAGCGACGTGCCATTGGCAAGCAGTTCTCGAGCTGAACGGAAATTTTCATTGCTCCAGTAGTTGCGAAACGGTGCGGTCTCCGTTCGGTGCGCTGTCGTCGTCGTTTAGTCTTTCACGGGGCACACGTTGTTTAGACGCCCGCCCGGATGAAGTGGGGGTGCGGTATGCACCTCAAGGTCTGACGATTTGTCATCAGGACTTGGGAGCTTGCATGGGCATCGAGTCCCACGTCGACGCTATCGCCGCATGTCTTCAAGAACTTACGCATGCCCGACCAGCCAACACCATCGGCTCGCCCACCTTTCTGAGGTGCGCGCGATCACGCGCAGGGTCGAATTACTAACGAACAATACACACCCATACCCAGAGGTGGGTCGTAGGGAGGAGGGCTGGTTGTGGGCATGGGCGCGGGTTGTCGGACCCCGGGTGGGTTTTCCGTTCGAGCTGGGAGCGCCATCCGACAGCGCGCAACCATAGTTCCCTCCGCCCTCCCTACGGGTATGGGTGCGTGTTGTCCGCTCAGCATCAAAGACGCAGCGCCTGGACCTGATCCATCTCCCTTTTGACCAGCGCACGCGAAGGGCAGCGGGTGCCTCTTCGAGCTGCTGCTCTGCACCTCTTCGGCGCGCAGGCCAGGCCCACCGTGACTCGGCGACGCGGGCGTGACGGCGATGCCCCCCGGCCACGGGCCGAGCCACCGAGCGGATTGGGCCAGAAAGCCACGTCGGTTACGGTCGGGGTTGCGGCCGGACCGAGGTAGTAAGACCGAGGTCGGTTCGCGAGGGCACCCTAACGTCCCTCGTGTCTGTTGGATGAGCTTGTGCTCCCTGGAGAGGGTACCCTTGGATGCGCTGTATGCTTTGGTCGGCAGATGGTATCATGTTCTTGGCGGGTGTCGTTCTATCTCTGGTCCGGTTGAATGGCCGCTTCTGCCCAGATCTAAGGACAGCGGCAGCAGGATTTTGGCCGCGTCCACCGGCTAGAAGCTGGAGCTCGCATCCGAATTTGAGGCGCGCTGGATCCGGCAACGATTCGTCCCGAAGAGGCAGCTCAACCAGCATGGTGCACACCTCGACGCGAAAGCCTGTATAGCACGTGACGTCAACCGCGTGGATTTTGCGAAGACAGGTTTGATTAGTTTTGACGCCAAGGCCGCGGACCTCCCTAGGCAGAACGTGTAACTGATTGGTATTTGAGGAGTTCCTCATCCGTCGTGCGACTACTGCTTGGCCTGTTCGGTCACCGCCAACCCGAATGAACGGGTATTCATCGCCACCAGCGGCGCAGCCCAGGTGCGTTCGCAGTCAAGGGCCGTTGCGCGCTCGCCCTTGACATGCTGGTTCGGCATATGTGGAGCGTCTTTGAGGGGCCTAGCCAAGGCGACGCTGGGGCCTGCGCGGAAGATGTATGCTCATTGTTGTCTCGGCCCGATGCGCTTCGGCAGTGAGTCCGCCTCTCGACTTCGCTTTAGACGTTGGTCACGACGGAGGCCCGCCTTGCCACTTGGATCGGATTTGAGCGACTGGTGCCTGTTTGTTTTCGCTTCAGATCAAAGAGTTCGCGGGGCAATGCGACATCCAGAACAAACAAATGTTTGTACTACTGCGTCTCTGTCCAGGGCGGGGGTGCACGGCTCCCGGAAAACATTTCGTCAATTCTTGTTACAATATTTTGCCATCTCGCAGAATGCTCATGTCCGAAGCGAGGGCAAACGCAATTTCGCGCTCACTTCACAGAGGAGCTTACGCATGTACACTCAGGGGAGGAAAATACACGCCGACCCCCATACCCGGTGTTTGCAAAACGGCCCTGGACGTTTACTAAACAGCCTTGCCCTGCGCGATCCTTCCCCGAGGTGCATGTACAGGGATTCGCTCGAGAGTGTTTTTTTGCCCCTGCCCTCTGGAAAGGGGCGGCGCTCGCTGCCAGCTCGGCCATGGGCCTCTCGGGGCGCCGGCTCGAGGCTGGTCTTATTTGTCCTCGGCTGTTGCGGTTCATTGCATTCCGCCGATATTCCCGTTGCGCTGGCCAGCAGTGTTTGAAGGGGCCTTGGGACACACACACACACACATAAATACACACACATAAAAATATTCCCCATATTTTATTTTTTTCTCGGTTTTTGTCTTCCCCCCCACTTCCCATATTTTCCCGCATTTTCTGGGGAATCGACGATTCATGGTGTCTGTGTGTTTTTTCCTCTCCTGAGTGTTTTCAATCATGCCGAATGCGAGGACGCACACGCCTTGCCATCGAGAAAGCGTGGCAGGGCGACGGTCCGAGGTGAGCGGATCTAGCCAACGAGGCGCAATCCGCCACGGTATCTAGGAGGTCTTTGACTCTGTGCGTTGCATTTGTTTCTCCCTCCTCCTCCTCATCCTTCTCTGTGCCTTCCTCTTCCTCCTTCTCCTTCTCCTCCATCGTCTCCTCCTCTCCCTCCTCCTCCTCCCTCATTCTCTTTCGGTCTCCACGTCATCTTGACCCCCCCTCTGCCCCTTCCTCTTCTTCATCCTTCTCGTCACGCTCCCACTCTCCACCTCCTCCCTCTCCCCCTCCTCCTCCTCCTCCTCCTCCTCCTCCTCCCCCTCCTCCTCCTCCTCCTCCTCCTCCTCCTCCTCCTCCTCCTCCTCCTCCTCCTCCTCCTCGTCCCCCCATCACGGGGTCCCAATGTGTTTCGTCGTCCACCGTTTGTTTCTTCGTCCTACTCTCCTGCCCTTCCACCAGGCCACGGTGGACCAGATAGTTGCTCCATATGTTTCTTATTATGATCCCCCGCTCTCTTCTCCTGCCGCCTTCTACTGAACGCTATGCCTCCTGCTGCTCAAGCTCCTCATCATCATCACTATCCCCCTGATCGTTGTCTGTATACCCTCCTTGTCCTTCTACTCGTCCCCCTCTCTTTCGTAGTTGTTCTGCCCCTTTCCGTTGTTCTCGCCCTTCCCTTTCTGCTCCATCTTGTCTTCCCCCTCCTCGTGCTCCCCGTCCTCCGTCCTCTTCCCCTCGCGGACCAGGACGGGCCTTGGGACGGTGCAGCCTGGTTTGCTTCTATCGCCTGCATGGTGTTGCTCGCCTTCGCGCCTCTAGCAGACGACTGGGTCTTGACGCTGGTCGTTGCGATTGTAAATGCATCCATCTCCACGGGCGGAACACATGACATGGTACCATGAGGAGCGGGGAAGACGGAGGATGACGATCAGGGGGGAGGAGGACGAATACGAAGAAAGGAGGAGATGTACCCATAAGGAGCGAGGATTTAGGGGAGGCTAGGGGGACGAGGAGGAACATTCAAACCATTAGTGACGAGGGGTGGGGTATGTTGCGGAGGGACGAGGGGAGGACGCAGGAGGACGAGGAGGAAGTCGAGGAGGAGGATGGAGAAGGATGAGAGACAAGGAGGAGGTGGAGGAGAAGGAGGGGGAGGCAGGAGGAAAGAGAAGGAGAGAGACGGAGGAGGTGGATAGGTGGAGGATGAGGAGGACTGAGGCAGGACGATGAAGTGAAGGGGGGGAGAGAGGAGGGGGAGGGGGAGGGGGAGGGGGTGGCTGGAGGCACAGTGCTAGGACGAGGAGAAGGAGGAGGAGAAGGAGAAGGAGGAGGAAGGGCCGGACGAGGAGGTGGAGAAGAGAGGAGGGACGCCGATGACGAGAAGAGGGAGGGAGGTATCCTTCTTATATTCCTCGCTCCCTCTCCCGACTCGTCCCCTCATCCTTCGTCCCCGTTTTTCTACCTCCCCATGTTTCTCATCCCTTTTCTCCCCCCCTTCTGCTCCTCCTCTTCTGCTTCCTCGGAGTTCCGCTGGGCGGGCCAAGGTCGTCTGCCCGTAAGGGGGTCTCTGCCCTTTGCGAGGTGTTTAGGGCCTCTGGGCCTCTCTGAGGCGGACCTCCCACGTGGCGCTAGAGGGAGGGGGGAGGAGCAGGAGGAGGAGGAGGAGAAGGAGGAGGAAGAGGAGGAGGAGGGCGAGGAGGATGGGGATGAGGAAGTGAACAGGGAGGATACATAGAAATTCGCATCGCGCGGGTAGAGGGTGCAGGAGGAGGAGGAGGAGGAGGAGGAGAAAGAGGAGGATGAGGGGGAGGAGGAGAACGGACTGAGGATTGGAGGATGAGGGTAAACATATGCTTCCGAGGAAGGTGAAGCGACGTTTCCGTCGATGGAGTGGAGGATGTGGGGAAGTGAAAGCAGATGCTTCTGGGGTGGAGGAGGAGGAGGAGGAGGAGGGCACACAGACGTTTGTATCGACGGTTTGGACGATGAGTGAATACATATGCTTCCGTCGAGAGCGTAGATGTGCGGGGTATATGTGCGCTTCCATTGGGGGGTGGATGCTGAGGAGGATACACAGGGGCTTCCATGGAGGAGGTGTTGGACAAGGGTGCGAAGATGCTTCCGTCGAGGGCTTTTTTCCATAGAGTGGTTTGAGGAGGAGGGCACACAGACATTTTCATCGTTACTTCCTCTTCTTACTCTTCTCATTCTTCTTCTTCTTATTATTATTAGTATTATTATTCTTCTTCTTCTTCTTCGGGGCCCCGAGGACTGGTGGGCCCTCCAGCGGCTGGCGCTCGACGGGAGCTCCGAAACCTGCGTCCCCGGGTAGCCCCTTCGTGATCCGCACCTGGGCTCTGGGCCCGAGTCGGCAGAGTGGCTTCTGGATACGCGCCACCTCCTCCCCATTCTTCCCATTCCCCCGCCACGCGCCCACCTCTTCCTCTCCTTCTCCTCTCCCTCTTCCTCCTCCTCCTCCTCCTCCTCCTCCTCCTCTTCCTTCTCCTCCTCCTCCTCCTCCTCCCCCTCCTCCTCCTCCTCCTACTCCTCCCCCTCCTCCTCCTCCCCTCAGTCTCTCTCAGTCTCCCTCTCATCTTGCTCCCCCCCTGCCCCCTCGTCTTCCTCATCCTCTCCGTCATGTTCCCACTCCTCCTATTCTTCCTCCTCCTCCTTTCCTAATATACGTCCTCCTCCTCCTTCTCCTCCTCCTCCTCCTCCTCTTCTTCCTCCTCCTTTCCTAATATACGTCCTCCTCCTTCTCCTCCTCCTCTTCTTCCTCGTTCTTCCCATGTCTGCCCCTAAGGAATTGCGCATATCTGGCGAGGTGTCGACACGCCGCCCATTGCCGCCTCGTTGCCGCCTCGTGCGCTCGGTGGGTCTGGCGAGATTTTTCGCCACGCTGCCGCCCGTTGCCCCCTCGTTACCGCCTCGTGCGCTGGGTGTGTCCAGCGAGATTTCGCCACGCTGTCGCCCGATGCCGCTCCGTTGCCGCCTCTAGCTCGTGCACCACGTAGGCAGTGCAATAATTGACTGGCCGGGGCCCATGATGGCCAACAAATATTTCTTCTCCTATGAAGGCCGGGTCGGACGAAAGGGGGGGATCGCGGAAGGGGATGGTCCGGAACCGTCTGCACTCGGCTGGTTTCGGCGCCGCCCCTGGGCCTGCTCCTCAGCGCCAGGCCGCTTCTAGCGCCAGGAGGCTCTGGGGAAACCAGTCTCACGCAGCTGATTCTTTCATTCCCCCTTTGCTACTTATCTTCCTGTTTCGTCCGCCCCGAGAAGGCGGGGGGGGGGGGAGTGGGAGGGCGAGAGGGGGCGGGGCGGAGGAGGCGGGGAGAGGGGGGAAGACGGAACGGAGGGAGGGGAAGGGGTGTGGGGGGCGGAAGGGGTAGGGGGTGGGGGCGAGGGAGGCGATGGAGGAGAGGGAGGGGGGACGGAGGGAGGGGGGCCACGCGCGCGAACTTGGATGCCCGAGTGCTGGCCCAACGCAAGCGCAACGGCACCCTCCGACCAATCGCTTGCGGTGCTGTCCTTCGCCGCCTCGCTGCGCGGGTCGCCTGCAATGTCGACGCACAGACGACGTGCAAGAGGCACTCGGCCCCCACGAGTACGCCGTCGGGCGCGCGCTGGGGGCGAGCTTGCGTACAAGTGCCTTACAGCCCTCTCGGAGGCTTGCCCGCGCGGGGTCGCCCTGGCGTTCGGCTGTTCCAACGCCTTCACCAGCATCCGTCGCGGCAAAGTGCACAGCTTGCGTCAGCCAGCGGGCCCTCCGGCTGTTCCAGACGTCCCCGCAGACGGTTCCCACCGCATTCTAGCCAGCAGCGGCGTGGACAGAGGAAGCCCGCTCTCACCTGCGCTGTTCGCAATTGGCACTGCGGACGCCTATGACGAGCTCTACGTGTGCCTTCAGGCCATCTCGCCGTCCTGCAGAATGCCCAGCTACCTCGACGACGCCATGATTCTTGTCCAGCCAGGAGTCGCAGACGAAACCATGCGGCTCGCAACCGACATCCTCACGGGGCATGGTCTAGCGGTGGACCGTAGCAAAACCCAGGCGTGGTCCGCCGGGGGGCGCGACCACTTGTCAGCCACCGCCCAGGCGCGCGGGGTGGACCACCTCACCTGTTTAGGAAACGCGCTTCCTGGCTCCGAGAGGAGGGAGAATGGGTGAACGTCCGCGCCAGATTGGACGGGCCACAGCCGTGGCCAAAGCGACGGTGTCGGCCGCCCATCTACAAGAGCTGCGGCAGGCGAGCCTCCAGGCCGAGGGTGCCTTCACTCTGCTGCAGCCTTCGCCCGCGGATGCGTGACGCACGACCTCCGCGCCAACCTGCTGGTGATTGGACGGAGCTGCTGGACCGCGTGCTCTTCGGCTGCCTCGAGCATCTTACTGGCGGACCCTTCGACCCCCACCAGCGCGTCCAATCCACGCTGCGCCTCGCTGGTGGCGGATGCGCCCCCCTTCGGCTACCCTGACGGCGCCCGCCTTCTCTCTTGCTCCATGACGTGATGGCTTGCCTCGTGGCCAACTCGCTGAACAAGTTCCGGGCCCGTTGCCCGCGACCGCAACAGACGCGACCAGGCGGAAGCGACGTTCCGGGCAACAGACGTTTTCAAAGAAACCCCATCGATTGAATTGGATGCGCTGCAGCGACAAATCCCAAGCTACAGGCCCACGGGGGCTAAGCTGCATCCGCGGCCAACAGGGTGAAACTGCTGCGGCTACAGGACGAGGACCGACGCCTACGCCTGCGAGAGAGAACAAGAACCACTGGAGCAGGCAGCTGGCTCCTCCAGCGCCAGCCTGATGACCCAGGCCAGACCGACGCTCACTGCAACTGCGACCTGGAGCGGCGGCTTTGCATCCCAGTGTGCCCTCCTGGCTCCCGCTGTCACCACCGCCGCCAGGACAGCAGACTCTGCAAGGATCCCCATTGACCCGCACGGTTGGCACGCAGTCAAGTGCGAGGTGGGCGAGTCGTGCAACGATCGTCACAATAGTTGCCGCGATTGGCACCCTTTTTTTGATCGGCGGCTCCAAGGACAGCTCCAGGGAGCGGGTCAATCTCGACTGGGGCGCAACGCGAGACGATTGGCAACGACGGCGCATAGGCCGACGCAGCAGGTGCACGTGCCAGGGACAAAATGACCTTCATTAAGTGCCGACCCAGAGGCGGGATACGGCAGCAGTCGGAAAAAGACGGAGGAGGAAGAGGAGGAGAGAGGCAGACGAGGAACGCGGCGAGGGGAGGGGGGAAAGGCGGTGGCCTCACTCACGCGATTGGCACCCCGCGAAGCACAAGGAAGTCACAGGCTTCTCGGCGCCCACGGAGCATGCTGTCCCCGCCCGAGATCGCCGGAATCTCCGCACAGGGGTGCTTCAGCAAGCCGTCCACGACCTTTCCACTGCCGACTCGGCCACGGGCCACCAGCTCTAGATCTTCGTCGACTGGGGCATCACGTGCGTACGCTCAACCTGCGCTCCACGCAGGCGTGCCCGCGCCTACAAGGATGGCTTGGTGGCCGCCCAGGCGGTGGATAAGAAGCGAGGGCGGGCTCCCCCCGCGGGGGCGAGCTGGTCCCGCTCGTTTTCGAAACGGGGACTGGCCCAGCGACGAAGCAGCCAGCTTCGTTCGCAGCTATGGAGCGGACTTGGACGATGGCGAAGTCTTCGAGCTGCTGGGCGGCCTTCAGCGGCACATCGGCAGAACCCTCCAAAGGGGCAGTGTTGAGATGTCCCTAAGCGCGCTCCCGCGCCCAGCAGCGGTGCCAGCGACCACGCCTACGACGTCCGCCAGCACGACGACCACCACGACCACCTATGACAGGACACGGCCAACTTCACGACCACCTCGACGACGCGCCCACTACTGCTACCTCCACGACCACCACGAGGGCCATTTCCTCGACCACCATCACCGCGACAACCGCCATGACCACTAGAACAGGACACAGCCACCATTACGACAGCCACAACCACCACCAGGGCTTGCTCAGCCGAGCTGTCCAGAGGCAAGCGGAGGGACACGCGGACCGCGACCGCCTCTCCCCGTGCGTCTGACTGTTGGCCCGCCTCTGCCCTCTCCTTTTCCACGGGGGGGGGGGCGGAGGCGACAGACGGGGGCGGGCTAGGGGGAGAGGGAGGTGAGGTGCGGGGCAAGGGGGGAAGTGCACGTTGTTCCGCCCATGGACCGTAGTTGGAATTGACATGTTTTGGAATGTCGAGGCATTGTTTACCATATTGCGCCGTTCAGACGAGTCGTTTTACGAGGACGGTTGCGACCATCCAGCTCTGGATCATCCACGGACTTATTGTATTTGGAAGGCCTGGCGCATCATCCTGTTCCTACTCCCTCCCCTCCTCATCACCCCCTCTCACCCTCGTCGAGGCATCCCTGTACATCGCGTACATATGTCTTGGGATCGCGTTCTGCTTGGGGAGCATGCTGTTAATTGCCCAGGTCCCATTTGTCCTACCGCTTATTGCCTAGTTGTTGCTTGTCTACCGGCGGAAAGGGCCATCAACTTGTTCCACGGCTGGACGCGGCGGGAAACACATCACGAGGTGAGCGGTCCAGGGGCCACTTTTGAGCGACGTCATGGTTGGAGGGTCAACGCGCGGACACAAAAAAAACGACCCCTAAATAATTGGCATGTACCACAGAGCCCTGGGCGTTTACTGAACAGGAATGCCCTCTTCGATCCCAGCCTTAGGTGCTTTTACTCAAGTTCGAAGGGCTGCGTTCAGTTGGGTACTTCCTATGTGGGTGTGTTCGTCTCGCTACGTATTGTCAACCCGCATAGTGAGGATGAGCAAGTTTCCAAAGTTACCGTTGCATCCTTCCCCTTCGGCCCGTCTCCGGCCGCTGTCGCTGGCCGCGCCCCGCTCGCAAAGTGTCGACGTGGCCTTCCAGGGCCCTTGCATCCTTATCGCACGTCATTCTTAACACTGGTTGGCTGTAGGGCAAGTCGCCCGCCAGGACGCGACGATGATCGCGCTCTGCGCTTCTGGGCCTCGTATGGGGAGCCGCCCTTCCCCTGACGGCGGCGCGGGAGCGTGGAGGTAAAACCGCGCGTCCTGCTTCGCGCGGCGCGAGTCGCGAAGCACGGTAACCTGGCCGTAGACACGCCAGCGGCGATGTAGATACAAGGAAATATAGGTTTTGGTATTGTAGCGGGGGTGGTTCGTGGCCAGCCCAAGTGTAGGAAAGGTTTGCTCGCGTTTTCCTACCATGTGTTATGCGCAAACTCGGCATCGCAAGAGCCAGAGTCCCAACACCGCCGTTAACCAGCATCGCCGTCAGCGTGGCCTGGGCCGGGGTAAGTCTCTGTGCCAGAAGCGCGTGCGGACGAGTGGGAGGCGTTCAGGTCCTCAGATCGCGATGCTCGCACCTCTCCCCGAGCCACTCCCAGGGTTACATGTGGTTGGGTATGTAAGAGGACAGAAAGGCACATAAACCCAAACCTCCGGGCGTCCGCGGACGGTTTTGTTCCTCTCGAAGAACAGAGGGATCAACATGCATTTCCAGAGGCCCGCGTGGAGTTCTCGGATCTGCGCTGGACCTCTCTGGCAGCGTTTCCAGCGCCGTCGCTGGCGCGCTCCGCGCGTCAGGGAAGGAACTCGGCGCGCCGATCTGGGACGTCCGCGCGGTCCTCCGAAGTTTGACGCCTATTCTTGTACTGTCCCTACACTTCTCGGCTCCAGACCACTTCCTCGGACACCTGGACAGCGGTGGCTTCGGGCACCGCCCCCCGCCGCGCTCCGCGTGCCCGGGAGGGGCGCAGGGAGGGTGCGCCCACGGGGAAGCCGCACGCGGACGTCCAGAGGCTGGGCTTACGGCCCTCTCCGCCCTCCTGACGTGGTGGCATATTTTGCAGGGATGGCGGCTACTGATGGAGTTTTGTGGACTGTGCTGACGGTGCAGACTGGCCAGTTCGTAGTGGATGGGCCGTTGTGGTATCCAGTTGCCTGAGGCAAGCCCCGCCGCCGTGACCCCCAGGGAGGCCCCATGGCCGTCCAGGGACCTGCAGGGGTAGGGGTGGCGCGCGCCAGCGGGGGCGACGTGAGGGCTTGTTGGGCCCGCTAAAAGATTACAGGAACACTGTCAGGCAGCACTTGGCATTCTTCAGCGCCTCAACGAGCCAGGGGGCACAGTGGCGGATTTACCCGGAGACGTGCTGGGGATCCTCGCTTGTGCTCTGCCCCGGTTTCGGCATCAGTTTCACGTCGGCTTGCGTGCATTGTTTTACAGGACAGAGGTTTCAGCGGCTGCAGCTGGGATCGCTAGCTTGGTCGGGAATTGTGATCCGAAGGCCTTCACTTGCAAAGGGATGGGCCCACAATCTCTATCAGAAACTGAGGGGCGCCCGACCGTTCAACAACGCCGCCTGGTGTACGAAGCTATTTTTTCGTAAGGGCCAACACATATTGCATGATGCTGAAGAGAGGGGGGAGGGGGATGGGGATCATATCCTGAGCTGCGCTCGAGCATACCACTTTTGTCAAGAATGCTGGGGCAGGACAGAAGGTAACCAACTGCCCTTTATATGAACCCCCATGGGATAATAAACTTCAGGGTCCAGGGGCGAGAATACAAGTTTTCCCGGACATCGCAGCATAATGGTAAATATGATGATGATGACGATGACGATGATGATGGTGATGCTGATGATGATTATGACGATGATGATGATGATGATGATGATGATGATGATGATGATGATGATGATGATGATGATGATGATGATGATGATGATGGATGGCCCTTGGTGCGCCATAGGAATCCTCGGGAAATCCATCGGGATTCTGTTAGAGAGCCCAACGGGTTCTTTAGGACAGCCATAGGACTACTTAGGACATTCATAGTATTCCTCGGGACAGTCATAACACTCATCCGGGATTCGATAAGATGCCAGAGGAAGTGCATCGGAGTCCTCTGGGAATCCTTAGAGTTCTTCGGAACTCAGTACGATTCCTCCCGAATTCTGTCGGATGCCTAAAGACACCTGCAGTATGCCATAGGACAATAATCGGATGCCTTGGGAACTCCATCGGGGTCCTTAGGCAATTCAGGTGATTACTGGGGACATGAACGAGATCCCGAAGAAAACGCATGTCATGCCGAAGGAAGTCCATCGGGTCCCTTAGGACATCCATCTGATTCCTTAGGAAATCCATGGGCTGCCTTAGGACATCCATAGGACTCCTTACGAAATCCTTAGGGATTTTACAACATCCATGACAATTCCTTGGGGGCGTGATAGGAATCCTGTGGGACCCCATTGGGTTCCATGGGGAATCTATCGGGATCCGTGGGCAATCCATCGGCATCCGGAAAAACTGACCAAGATCCCGTACGACATCCATAGGAATACTTCGGACATCCATCGGGTTCCTTTGCGAATCCTTGCGTTTCTTTCAGAATTTCACAAGTTCGCTGAGGAATTCCATGGGACTCCTCAGGGAACCCAGAGGATTCTTGAGGACATCCACAGGATCCCATAGGACACCCATCGGATTCCGAAGGCAACCCATCGGATTTCGTAGGGAACCCATAGGATTCGGAATACTTTCTGGAAGTCCGTACGGGCCCAGAGGAAATCCGCTGGATTCCTTGACATCCATCGGTTTCATTCGGAAATCCATGAGATTCTTTAGGGGTTCCATCGAACCCCTTAGGGAATTAATTCAGCGGGCTCTGTCGGAAGCCTTCCGGATTCCGTAGAAAAGCTATTTGATTTCGAAGGGAACCCATAACATGTCTTCGGCAATCCATCGGGCCCCTTCGGAAATCCATAACACCCCGTCAGAAATTCAAAATTCCGCTTGGGATCCAGGAGGTCCCTGCGGAAATCCACCCGATGCCTTCGGACATCGTTTGGGTTCTTCAGAAATCCACATTCGGGTTCCTGAAGGCAGGTATAATATTCGACAGGACATGCATCGGATTCCTGAGGACATCAACATAATTCCGGAGGACATGTGCAACATTTGTGTTGGACACCCATAGGATGCCTCAATAAAAATCCATCTGAATTATTGAGACATCCTTTGGTTTCCGTAGGAATTGCATATGGGGTCCTTCTGACATCCATCGGATTTCTTTGGAAGTCCAGAGGACCCCTTGGGACATCCATTGGAAGCCTTAGGAAATGCATGCGACACCTTTGTAGGAATCCGTTGCGCCCCTTAGGACAGCCATCGGATTCTTCAGATAATCCATAGGAGTCCTCCGGGCATGTACAGGATTCCTTGGGGAAAACATGGGATCCCCAATGCAATATGCAGGATTCCTTCGGACATCCGTAGGACCCCTCAGGACAGGCACAATATGCCGAAGGAAATCCATCGGATGTCTTGGGAAGTCCAGGGGGTAAATTAAGAAGCGTAAGGAAGCACAGTGATGATTATGATGAAGATGCCGATGGTAAGATGATGCTTTTCGCTCTGATGGTTCGTGGCGCTCTTCGAGACATGGCATTTAGCTTGCCTACGCTCTCGGAGTCCTTGGCGCTCCTCGCCAGGCAACATCCCTTGCGAACCGCCTCGAACCACTCGCCCACGCAGGCTCGGCATCCTTTGGGGCCGTCCTTGCGCGGGAGGCATTCCGCGCACGCTAGCGCAGCGGCGCTTGCCTCCTCGAAGGTCCGCACTTGGGCGCTAGCGCGGTCGGGCTCTTCGGCGGCTGGGCCTTGCCCGTGCTCTTCGCCTTGGCCTTGGCCTTAGCCCTGGCGGACTGGTTGTCGCTCGCGCCCTGCAGCTTCTGGATCCACTCGTTGCCTCGAGCGCGCGCCTGGCTGGCGCCGACAGGCGGCTGGCGGCCCTCGCCCAGGATCTCGCGCAAGCCGCGCTCGACCCACCTCGTCGCCCAGAGCCCGCAGGTCCAGCCATCCGCTTGGGACGTCTCGTTGCTTCTCGCAGGGCATCCTCGACAGGGCCGATGGCGCCGAGCTTTCGGAGGACCCTCGCGGCGGCCTGCTTGGCGTTCTCGGGCGGCTGCTTGAGGGCGTCGCGGCATTCGACAGCCATGCCTGCCCCAGCTTGGACACTTTGAGGTGGGCGCAGTGCGCGGGGGCCTCGGAGTGCACCGCGATCTGCAGGTGCTCGGCCTTCTCGTTTCTCTCCGCCCAGCGCTTCTGTTCCTCGGGCTGCTGAGCGGCAAGCTCGTCCTCGCCCTGGCCCTCTCGAGCCCGGGCGACGGCCGCCGCGGGCTCGACTGCCAGATCGTTCTCGGGGGCGCCCGCGCGCTCTTCGATCTCGCCGAGCAGCGCGCGCGCCGCGCCCAGCTCGAGGGCGCCGCCCTGCTCGGCGTGCTCGCAGCTCGT